GCGAGAAAACGGAAATACCTTACGTTCTCAATGAAATATTTATATTATCACCGAAAAATGGAGTTTACTTAAAAATAATTAAACTTAATCGAGCGTAAGTTAAGCTGTTCTTTAATTTTTCTAAAAAACGTGCATAAAAAAACAGAGAACAGAATCTCTGACAAACTGTATAATAAAAGTTACTGTTCCGATCGCAATATAATATTTATTAACTCAATTGATATCATTGTATAATAACAGTGGCGATCGGGGCGCAGAAAGTTAGCATTATGTGCCATGGCACATAAAAAAAACTTAAGCAGTAAGCAAATCAGCCGATCACAGTCAAGAACTTAAAGCATAACGTAAGCGGTAGCAAATCCAAACTGTTGATTTTCTTACTGCTAACGTTTTACTACTTAAGTTTTTCTATGTACCAAAAGTAGGGTGTATAGCTCTTATAAGTTTTATTGACGGCAAAAATAGGTCTAATGTACAACATACCGGTTTTTCACGCCACTCTGACACGCTTGGCTCTAGAACACCGTGACCGCCGGGGCACGAAGCCCTCGGGGCACGCGCTCCGCCTAACCGAGTAAGTAAGGAAACGATGAAAGTAGTGGTATTTCACCGGCGATGTTGCCATCTCCCACTTATGCTACACCTCTCATATCTCCTTACAGTGCCAGACTAGAGTCAAGCTCAACAGGGTCTTCTTTCCCCGCTAATGTTTCCAAGCCCGTTCCCTTGGCAGTGGTTTCGCTAGATAGTAGTGTCCACTTGATAAACGTTTATTTAAAAAACGTTCTTTTTTTTATGTAGGAAAAAAAAACGCTTTTTTAACTGTTTCTTTACATATCATGTGCGCGTATAGCCGCTCTCTCAAGGCGGTTACCCCCTCCTAGTACACCGCGCCCGTGTTGCTTGACTTCGATGATCCAGTGGACAGTATATAAAAATCTTCTGACTTTGATGCTTTCCTTATTAACTGTACTTGTTTAAACCAGGTACATCTTTAAAGTGTTCAAAAATCTTGTAATGATATCTTCTTGATAGCTATAATACTGCATGAAATAGTTATACGGAACTACATCCACTTATATCATAAATTCACCGTTTCAATCATAAAGTTGCGAAACAAACATATTGCAGTTAATTTTGTGGTTTTTATTTTATTATTACTTTATTATACAACATTAAAAAGTAAAAATAGTTATGTTACAAAAAATTCTTCTGACGTCACTTTGCTACTTGGGTCGTCATCCCAAAAATAATTCTGTTGGAAAAACATCTTACGAAAGGTTTTTATGAAAGAAGGAAATTGCGAAGTCCACAGGACGTAACACACGAGGACGTAAAAGTTTATGAGCAACATGTTGAAAACAATAGTTTTACAAGCAAGATAGCATCTAGTAGTTTAGTGTTATCTAATTTTTTTAATTGACAATTTACTTATACACAAATGTTAGCATAGAATAAAAAGGCAATAGCGTAGCGTATTTCGAGCAGTTTTTTTGTTGCTGAAACAGGTATATTATATATAACTCTTTCCTCGAATCTGAAGGTAATTTGTTTCTTGATTTAACCGCGTGGATATAAAACAATCTAGGATTGTTTTGCGTATTGATATTTGTCTTGTTCTTTCTCACTTTACGTAAATTGTAATCTTTGAAACGCTAAAAATGATATTGCAAAAATAAAACTTTAAGCAAACATTTCTTATTCGTATTCTCTATTGCGTTTACATTACATCATATCTTCAGTGTCCGAAATTTACACGCTTTTTATATTTGTAATATTAGATGGAACATCACGGTTACATGGCGAAGATTTTATTAAAAATCCGATTAAATTTTATCGAACCCTATAATATTTTAGGAAATTTATTTAATAAAACATTATTTTCTGCTCCCTCCCAGTAAAAATCATTCGTTATAATCGATCGGCGATCGCGGGATAATGGAAAACTTCCAAATCCTATGCGGCATTACTGCCGTAATTCTCGCTTTGTATTATTTCTTAACGTCAAACTTCGACTTTTGGAAATCACGCGACGTCCGTGGTCCACGACCGATACCGGGATTCGGCAACTTAAAAGATGTTATGCTCGGAAAAGTAATGTTGAGTGATTATTCAATGAAATTGTACCACGATTACAAAGACGAGCCGTTGATTGGGATATTCAATGGGAGGACACCCATCCTGATCGTAAAGGATCCAGATTTAATTAAAAATGTCCTCATCAAAGATTTCCCCACGTTCGCCGACAGAGAACTCTCCACTGTTCACGAAAAGGTGCGAATATCTTAAGCTGTTTTACACGAAATCTAAACCATATGCGCTTTTTGCAAAAAGTTCGATACGTCTTCATACTTTTCAATTAATAAAACTCCATGAAAATTGACTTGTTTTAAAGATGTATTTCTAAAGAAAATTATCGCAACTTGATAAAATCTGTATTCTATTTAATTAAAATTTGACTTCTATCACTAATTAAAATCGAGAAATTTACTCGATTACAATTTCGTCTTTGTCATATTGCAGGCCGAGCCGCTGTCGCAAAATCTCTTCAATCTAGAACCGAAGCGATGGCGACCGTTAAGAGCGAAACTGTCGCCTACCTTTACATCTCGTAAATTGAAGGAGATGTTCTCGTTGATATCAGAGTGCGCTGACCATCTTATGGATTATACGGAAGAATTAGCGAGAAGGAACGAGCCCGTAGAGTGCCGTGAGCTGATGGCCAAATACGCGATTGACGTCATCGGCAGGTGCGCCTTCGGTATCGAGATGAATGCCCTGTTGAACGACGACAGCGATTTTCGCAGAATAAGAAGAAACGTGTTTCGTCCACCCTGGTCGGATTCTCTGCGATACAAAATCAAAAATTATTTACCGTTGTTGTACGATGTCTTAGGCTACATCCTGCCGGATACGGAGATCACAGACTTCTCCACGCGTTTTGTCGTGGACATTATAAACTACAGAGAAAAAAATAATATTGTTAGAAAGGATTTCATTGACACGCTACGCGAGTTAAAGAAACATTCAGATAAAGTGGGCGATTTTGGTAAATATTGTCTGTTTTTGTTATTATTTTGCTGTGTCATGCGAAAAATTTTTAGATAGAGATATGAGTTCGCGCATTTGAATATTATAAAATAAAAAATATGCATGCGCATGTTCTCCATCATTCTATACTATAAATCACAATGTAAAGCGAGGAATTCAATTTCGTATAAGCGAGAACTATAATTGATCATATGTCAATTATATAATTAAATTAGTTGCAATTTTTTATATTTAATGTAGGAAATTAAAAGATAATTTATTTCAGATTTTACTGACAGTTTGATGGCTTCTCAAGCATTTTCGTTTTTCGTTGGTTTCGAGACCTCATCGATGGTGATGAGTTGCGCGCTTTACGAGCTGGCTTTAAATCAGAAAATACAAGACAAATTACGTGAAGAAATTGATGAGGAATACACGAAGCACGATGGTAATTTAACGTACGAAGACATTAAGAAAATGGAGTACTTGAATAAGATATTCAAAGGTACGTTGCTCGAAAATTCGTGTTTCGAAAGATTGAATCAAAGAAAGGTATGAGAAACATAGTGACTATAATATAAGTCCCAGTCTACAATAGATGTTTTAAGCACTAAGCCCTAAGAAATTCACTGTGATCGAACAATTTCTTAAGGCTTAGGGCTTAAAACACCCATTGTAGACCGAGACTAATCGTATCGCTGATAAAAGTAATTTGGAAAAATTATATGTATATGTATACATATATACAGAAACTAATATAAGGCTGTCAAAGATCTTAGCTTGGATCGTATGGCTTATGATTCTAATTTGATTGTATATTGTAACGGTCTCTTATTTCTCTTATTATTAAAAGTAATGTGTTCATTAATTCGTATAAATGCATTTTCATTTACTTGTCATTATTTTTACTGCAGAAACTTTACGAAAATATCCACCTGCATCGTTCTTACCGAGAAAATCGACGTCGAGTTATACTTTCAGCGACATCGAAGTCAGTATACCGAAGGAGCAAAAGATATGGATTCCCATCTTCGCGCTTCAACGTGATCCGCGTGTTTATTCAGAACCAGATATTTTCGATCCGGAAAGATTTAGTGAGGAGGCTGTGCAAAATAGGCACCCGATGTTTTTCCTTTCTTTCGGCGACGGGCCAAGGAATTGTATTGGTACGATGAAATAAGTCGTTTTTCATATTTCTTTGCTCCATTTTCAACAAAAAAATTTTTATTCGAGAGAATCTTGATCCGATTACCGTTTTTTTATTTTCAGGTTCTCGCTTTGCCACTTATCAAACTAAACTTGGGCTTATAAAGATACTACGAAACTACAAAGTCGAAACTTGCAAGGAAACGGAAATACCTTTAGTCTTGCGCGAAGATTATGTAATAACACTGAAAAATGGAGTTTACTTAAAAATAATTAAAATCAATCGAGCGTAAGTTATAAGCTCTTCTTTAATTTTCCAAAAGAACGTGCATAAAAAGAAATAGAGGAGAGAATCAATTTGTATTATAAGAGTCACTATTCCGACTGCAATATAATATTTGTTAATTTTATTGATATCATTTTTGTATAATAACAGTGACGAGAGAGGGAGAGATCAAAGAGCAGAGAGAGAGAGTTGTGTGTCTGTTTTCTGTGCCTAGATTCAAATCCGTCCTAAAATATCGGATTCGACTGTCATTTCTTAAGAACGTAATAGCAAACCTATATAGGCTGCGGTCCACTTGACGCTACAAATGCTTCGAAATATTCCTCTTCTCATACTTATAACGCTTTCCTCGAATCGGCAAGTAATTTGTTTCTTGATTTAACCGAATGAATATAAAACGATCTAGGATTGTTTCGCGTATTGATATTTGACTTGTTCTTTCTCACTTTACGTAAATTGTAATCTTTGAAACTGTTCGAGGTACCGTCAAGTTATCGATATAAGAATCACGGCGCATCGCGATCGAATAATTAGAGTTCTTTTTCGCTCCCTGTGTTCCGTTTCGAGAATCGCGATTGTATTTTCGTCCTAGCTCAAAAGGCAGGAAATCCGCGCCTCGTTTTTCTAAGTTCGACTCTCGCTTTGTCTTGGGGCCTTTGTGCGAGAGGTAAACACCCGAGACAAATTAAGCGAGAAGTCACTATATCATAACTGCGAATCGGTTGTCGACCCCGAGATCAATTGTTACCGTTAAAAGTCAAAAATCGCTGATCTCGCTGATTGTCGACAGCTGATTGGCCCTATGGGATTTGCGACTCGTTACCGGGGGTAGAAAACTCTAGATAATTGCTCGAGAATAAAACTACCGGCTCTCGCGCCCGCGTTCACACCCGATCTGTGGTTCACGGTGACAGTAAGTAAAGATATATAGCTTTCGTAATCTCGCTTTTCGTGCTAACTATAATCCGCTACGTTTCGCTGTGCGCTTCTAATTCCATTGTTCGCGGAATCGCGCTCGCTTCACCGTTAACTCGCGGAATAAATTGTAGAACTTGTAAATATAATTGTACATAACATATCCACTATTCTCTATTCTCTCGTGATCGTAATACCTCAGCTCGCGGATCGATATCCACGCTCACGCTCGGTCCGCTTTGAACAGAAACGTTAAAAACGATATTGCAAAAATAAAATTTCAAACAAATGTTTCTTATTCGTATTCTCTATTGTTTACATTACATCATATCTTCAGTGTCCAAAATTTACACGTGTTTTTTACACTTGAAATATTAGATGTAACATCACCTTTACATGGCGATGATTTTATTGAAAATTCGCTTAAATTTTATCGAACTTCATGATACTTTAGGAAATTTATTTAATGAAACATTATTTTCTCCTTCCTCTCAGTAAGAATCATTCGTGATAATCAATCGGCGATTGCGGGATGGAAAACTTCCAAATCCTATGCGGCATTGCCGCCGTCATTCTCGCTCTCTGTTATTACTTAACGTCGAACTTCGACTTTTGGAAATCACGCGGCGTCCGTGGTCCACGACCGATACCGGTATTGGGCAACTTAAAAGATGTTATGCTTGGAAAAGTAATGTTGAGTGATTATTCAATGAAATTGTACCACGATTACAAAAACGAGCCGTTGATTGGGATATTCGATGGGAGGACACCCATCCTGATCGTAAAGGATCCAGATTTAATTAAGGATATCCTCATCAAAGACTTCCCCATGTTCGCCGACAGAGAACACTTCACTGTTCACGAGAAGGTACGAATATCTTAAGCTGTTTTACACGAAATCTATAGATATGCGCTTTTTGCGAAAATTTCGATATAACTTCATACTTTTTAATTAACTAGACATCACAGACGCGCCCTATTTAGCTTTAATATTTCACTGTTAAGGCCTTTTGCACAATGCCAGGCAACAGGCAAACTCCTTCTTCTTTAAACAGATTAAAAAAGCAACAGGGACAGGAAATAATGAAAAATTCGTTAATTACAGTCTAAAAAATTCGAATGTTACTTATGATTTGTTGGCAACAGGCAATAGGCACAGAATTTTCAACATGACGAAAACTTTGTGTTTATTGTATGTGTCACTGTTTATTTTGTATTTATACATGATTTCTGATTTTGGTAATTATTTAGAATACGGGCTCCACTTCGAATACCGATAAAATTATTTCTATTCCCTGTTTCTATATATTGCCTGTTGCATAGCATTGTTAGAAGAGATTAGAGAGGGAAAAAAAAACCTTTTTTAGTGCCCTTCTACAAAAAAAAAAGAGGATGTAACTCACTGAAAATTGCGAGACTTGTTTTAAAGATGTATTTCTAAAGAAAGTTATCACAACTTGATAAAATTTGACTTCTATCACTAATTAAAATCGAGAAACTTACTCGATTACAATTTCGTCTTTGTCATATTGCAGGGCGAGCCGCTGTCGCAACATCTCTTCAATCTGGAATCAAATAAATGGCGACCGTTAAGAGCGAAACTGTCGCCTATCTTTACATCTCGTAAATTGAAGGAGATGTTCTTGTTGATATCAGAGTGTACCGATCATCTTGTGAATTATACGGAAGAATTAGCGAGCAGGAACGAGCCCGTAGAGTGCCGTGAGCTGATGGCCAAATACACGACCGACGTCATCGGCAGCTGCGTTTTCGGCATCGAGATAAATGCTCTATCAAACGAGAACAACGATTTTCGCAGGATAGGAAGAGATGCGTTCAATCCGCCCTTCTGGGATGGCGTACGATTCGTCATCAAGGAATACTTGCCGTGGCTTTTCGATGTCCTCTACGGCTACATCCTGCCGCAATCGGAGAGCACCAGGCTCTTCATGCGTCTCGTCGTGGACAATATGAACTACAGAGAAAAGAATAATATTGTTAGAAAGGATTTTATTGACACGCTACGCGAGTTAAAGAAACATTCAGATAATATGGGCGATATCAGTAAATATTGTCTGTTTTTGTTATTACTTTGCTGTTTCGTACAAAAATCTTTTAAACACAGAACAATATGAGAGTTCGCGCATTTAACATTTATAAAATAAAGAATTAAAAAGAATATGCATGCGCATATGTTCTCCATTCTATAAATCATGATATAAAGTGAGGAATTGAATTTCGTATAAGCGAGAATTATAATTGATCATATGTCAATTATATAGTTAAATTAGTTGCAATTTTTGACATTCAATGCAGGAAATTAAAAGATAATTTACATTTCAGATTTTACTGACAGTTTGATAGCTGCTCAAGCATTCGCGTTTTTCCTTGGTGGTTTCGAGACCTCATCGACGGCGATGACTTGCACGCTTTACGAGCTGGCTTTAAATCAGAAAATACAAGACAAATTGCGTGAAGAAATTGATGAGGAATACATGAAGCATGATAGTAATTTAACGTATGAAGACATCAAGAAAATGGAGTACTTGAGTAAGGTACTCAAAGGTATGTTGCCCGAAAATTCGTATTTCGAGAGATTAAATCAAAGGAAGGTATGAGAAACATTGACTATAATATAATCATATCGCTGATAAAACTAATTTCTTGTTCATTAACTTGTTCATTAATTCGTATAAATGCATTTTCATTAACTTGTCATTATTTTTACTGCAGAAACTTTACGAAAATACCCAGTTGCATCGTTCTTACCGAGAAAATCGACGTCGAGTTATACTTTCAGCGACATCGGAGTCAGTATACCGAAGGAGCAAAAGATATGGATTCCCATCTTCGCGCTTCATCGTGATCCGCGTGTTTATCCAGAGCCAGATGTTTTCGATCCGGAAAGATTTAGTGAAAAAGCTGTGCAAAGTAGACACCCGATGGCTTATATACCTTTCGGCGACGGGCCAAGGAATTGTATTGGTACGATGAAATAAGTGTCACCTTTCTTTTTTTTTCTTGTTCCATTTTCAACCGAAAAATTTTTATTCGAGAATCTTGATTAATGATTACTGTTTCTTATTTTCAGGTTCTCGCTTCGCTATTTATCAAACTAAACTTGGGCTCATAAAAATACTACGAAATTACAAAGTCGAAGCTTGCGAGAAAACGGAAATACCTTTAGTCTTGCGTGAACTTTTTATAATAAGACCGAAAAATGGAGTTTACTTAAAAATAATTAAAATCAATCGAGCGTCGGCGTAAGTTAAGCTGTTCTTTAATTTTTCTAAAAAACGTGCATAAAAAAACAGAGAAGAGAATCTCTGACAAATTGTATAATAAGAGTCACTATTCCGACTGCAATATAATATTTGTTAATTTTATTGATATCGTTTTTGTATAAAAACAGTGACGATCAGAGAGCAGAGAGTTGGGTGTCTGCTTTCTGTGCCTAGATTCAAATCCGTCCTAAAATATCGGATTCGACTGTCATTTCTTGAGAACGTAATGGCAAACCTAGGCTGCGGTCCACTTGACGCTACAAATGCTTCGAAGTATTCCTCTTCTCCTTTCTTTTAATGAAGAAAGAAAGAGAAGAAGAACGCTTCAAAGCATTTGTAGCGTCAAGTGGACCGCAGCCCGAATAGTCCGTTTGGAACCGGCATATATATAATATTAAATATATACAATATTAAATTGTAGATTTCATCGATTTATATAATCTGCTATAAAGAGCATACTATAAATATACGCAGCTTATTTTTATTACCCTCCTGCAGTGTTGAGCTAGTAATCTATGTCCATGAAAATTAAAATACTACGAAATCATCAAGAAACTAAGGCCCGGTTGCGTTTTTAACTGTCCCATTTAGAAAGAGACGAAGAGTACGCGACGTTGATGCAACCGAGTCTAAGAGAGTTGAAGGTCGGATTTGAGTAGCTCTCTACTTCTTGAAAGAGGCGAAAGTCTAACTTAGGCTGTTGTGCCATTTATTATGATGGATGATGATGTATAATAACATCTCATTGCGATATCAGTTAGTAATTAGATCGTTTAAATGTAAATTATAAATATTTTTGCGTACGTAAATTAACCCTAGCTAGCTACAATTATTTTCGAGTCCTTAATTCGCCACACTTCGGTCCGTGAGCCCGCTCGACTTTGTCGCATTGTCATTTTCATTCTAATTGATATTTATAAGCTTGTGATGTAAGAATTGGAAATACAGAGTCTGAATAAAATGTTCATGATAAAATATCAGGTCAAGAAAATTGTTTGAGTTTAAACTGAACTTATTATAAGAAGACTAGAAATTTGTGTTATTATATATCAACTAGAAAATTGAAAAATATTCAGCAGTCCACTGAACCGAATGTGGTGAGCTAGAATGAATAATACGTAATCTCTTTAAGCTCCTTTTTCTGTATTTTTTATGTAAGTATTCTATTGCATGTCAAAAATGAAATATATGTATAAAATAAATATGAGACGTATTTGTGCATATCAAACTTTCGCAAACGTTTGCGTGCAAAATGTTTGTTCTAGTTCTCTTATATTCTGAAACTCTTATAAAATAATTCATAGTAAATTTTATGTTTGGAAGTAGTATTTTACTCGCGCGCTAACTATAAGGGATTGATTAAAAACCATTGTACAATTGTTATCTAGTTTAACATTAAATTTATTATTCCGCGTCATTGTTATGAAAATTTTATAATGCAATTTTCTGCTTTTTTTACACAAATATAAAAATATATCAATTCGACAATATTGAGTATAATACTTTTTTATATGCAAGATGTCATCGAGTGTTTTATCTAGTATAGGTTTTTAAGTTTTTTAACAAACTATTTCCTATATACATATATATTAGTACAGAATGCAAAAGGAAATAAGATAATATATTTTGGACGGCTTTTTACATATATTTCCTATCTATACTTTCCGTTACTCGCTAGATTTTTTATAATCCTTACGTCAAATATTTATGTCACATAACGTTATCGCATTGTCACGTAGTCATTTTCTTTTGAATGTTCCGAGATATCCGACTCGGGCATACTGAGATCTCTCAATTGTGGCGACATTGGAACATAGCTGGAATGGTCTGCGAAAGTAGTTTCTTGCGTACATACTGTATTTTGTAGCCTTGCTTTAAAATGGTCGGAAATTTCTGAATGAGAATATTGCTCGATATCCACCCTGTTTTAAGAAAGATAGTCTTTTTTTTTTAATTGCTCTAGTCTTACATTTAGCGTCATTCTCGGGAGAAACTTGAAGTTAAATAAAATTGCAATCATACCTATCTTCCTTCGTGTGCTCGGATCCCCGCTTCTGTCGTGGTGGTAGTGCCGGAGGTTTCATTTGCAAATTGCACGAAATTTTACCCGTTAGTGACGTTTTCAGCTCAGGTGAACAAACATCGTCTTTAATTTCTTCGTAAATTCCAGATGCAACAGAGGTATTGGACTCCCTGTTGTACGGATGATGTTTTTCACTGTATATCAAATTGGGTTCCGATTGATATATATTTTCCACAGCTTTAGTGCCGATTGATGTCCTTAAACTGTTTTTTCACATATATTTGTCAGATTTGATTATGTACCATCACACAAAGTAATACTGTTATTTAATTTTCTGCATATGATACATACCAATTGGCATCTGTATTAAGGACACAGAGCGGTGCGTTATTCTTTACCCGTGAGGGAAGACTACCGATTCCACCATGCGCCACCGTTTCGAGATCACCATTAGAATGTAAAAGTCTTTGTCGGTGTCTCGGACCACGACCTTGCGTCACCAAGTCTTGTAGCAACTTATTAGCATCAAGGCAGAATACGTGGAGTTCCCCGACGCCACAGCGAAACTCCTTGCTGGTGTGCATTACACAAATACGCTTCACATCTTCTGGACGGCCCACCGTTACTAAATGGAACTGAGTGAATTCCTTCCATTCAAAAGTTTCGTCTATCTCACCGGTGTGAACATTTCTGATGAAAATTCCAACCTCGTTGGCAATCAGATCTCCGTATAAACCTGAAAATCACATTGATAATCAGAGACAAAGTCGACAGGGAGACTCCTGGCGCAAATGGCAATTACACCAACCGGTTAAACCTGCAGCCTTTGAATGTGGGTTGTCAACTATGGATATATTGTATGACCTCTCCGTGCAGCAGTGCCTTCTGGGCTTCAATAAGTGTCTGATATCCGCCATCCAACGTTGCGTCTCGGTCTCCGAATTGGCGGACAACGACAATAGCGACTTCCTGTTGTCCACTGCCGACGATACACTAAACGCAAATTGCTTCGTTCTGGAGCGAATGCGATGCACGACGGCGCCCGATGGTAGCGTCACAGAACTGTCCTTCTCGTTTTGCTTTAAAGCGCTGCCGCGACAGCTGAGCTTCTGGTCAAACTGCACCAGCAGGCCAAGGTCGGGTCCCTCACCGAGCTTCCTCACCGAGCACCATGATCGTTTCCACACCTTCGACAGAGGCAAGGCTCTCTTTCTCACCTTCTGCGTGACACATTTGCTGCTCGTCGACTTGACGTCGAGAAATCCGCAAATTTCCGTGTCGCGCGTACTCATTCTCTGTAAACAGGCGCGTCAAATTGGACCAGAAAGCTTCGAGTACACGTATATATCGTCGTGAAGAAAAATTGTAAGATTTCTTACAATTTTTAAGAAAATTGCGACGACGGTTTTGCAATGTTCAGCAAATCTCGGTGTGGAATCAGTGGAATGTGGATCTAAATTATCTAAAACATATATAGGTATTAAGCTATGGTAAAAGATAAACAAACCGATTGTAATGTAATTCGAAAACAAATGTAAAAACAAACGCTAAAGTATATTTACAATTTTGCCGGCTGTCACGCTCGCTCACTTAACTTGCACCCATCTCGTTTCGAGAGCAGAAGGTGCTCGTAAGTGCAAGGAAAACAAATTTTGAATTTATGCGTTCCGAAACTCGTCGGATAAAAGTGGTTAAAGGTTTTCGAAAAACTATTTGGATTTGTACTTTATTGTTAATTAAAAAGTTGTCTAAAGAGACGTCTCAAAATTGTTAAATTAATAAATTACTCGATAAAATTTAATGACTGCATGACAATTGTAGTTACAGTAACTTAATTGGTATATAATATCTTGGAATATTTTGTAGACAAAATAATAATAATTGATATTATAAATATAATATTCTGGATTTTTTAAGTATATAAAATTAAAACACGTGCATTAACCCTATTCGCTCCAACGTTTTTTCCGCCCTAATATTCCTCCAGCCATGCACTTTCGAGTCCCACGCGTTTTTTTAAATGTTAATAGCTTTGAAAAATTCTCCAAAAATTATTATAATATCTTTGTACCTTCGACTAAAAATCAATGTAAAGAAAATTTGGAAATCATTTATTTAAATATTTTTTTACAACAATTATATGTTGACAAACACACGTTACGACTCGTTTTACTTAAAAAATCATAACTCACGAACAAATTGACGAAGCTTAATGAACCAAAACGCAAATTAAAGCTAAAAGTAGTGCAAATGAGAAAAAAAATGAGATAATTATTAATTATTAATTAAATAGGAATACTTAATTTCGTCACCGCAAATTTGGTAATTTTTAAATGGTACAGAAGGACTTAGGATGCCAGAAAAGGAATTTCTGAATAAGAAAAGACGAATTTGGATGTGAAAAACATTTTTTACTTAAAAAAATTATATTTTTTATAATTATATTTATTTTTTTATATCGCGTGATTTATCGTGAACAATCGTAGCAATATCGAATCCTGTGGTCTTCACATATTGGTTTTTTACATTTTGCGCAGCAGTACAAAGTTTTTTTATTTCTGTTATATTCGCAGACAGAACATCTTTTACGTTTCTCTAGTTTGTCATTGTTATTAACTGGAATGTCTGTTTCTGACAAAATATTGTTAATATCTCTGATAACTGCCACATGCAACCCACTTATGTTTTTTTGATTGTGTAAGTGTGGAGTTATCAGTGACATTGTTAGCTCTTTTAGAAAAGTTGTCCTGTTTTCTATGTTATGGAGTACATTAAAATTATAAAGAATAAAACTATTAACAGATGCTTGGTCTAGCATACCCATAAAGAATCTCAATGGCCACCTCCTTGTTTTTCTCGCACAACTAAAAAACGCACAACATTGGTCGAAGACATCTGTACCTGCTTTCGTACTGTTATAAAATTCAACTAATTCAGGCTTTCCGGAAATTTCATTGATTTTGCATGAGTTGTGTAATGATGATAATATTAGTACAACTTTATTCTTCTTTGGACACCAAGACATGAGAACATTAGTACCATCGTAACCGCAACGGACGGTTCCAACCGATGCTGTGCGTTTAAAATTTTCTGGGATTTGTCTCTTATTTTTTCTTATAGTTCCAACCATTGTAAGATTATAATCTTTATACATTTTCTTGAAAATTTCGATAGAACTGAACCAGTTGTCGCATGTTACATTTCTATTACTGTGATAAATAGGCTCACATAACTTTCGAACATAATAACTCGGAATTTTTTCATTGGCAGGGGGATTTACTCTCCCTGCATACGGAATCGCGTTATATAAATAGTAAGTTTTTGCATCATTTAGTGTTACAATTTTGATACCATAGCGATCTGGTTTACTTTTCATGTAGACTTTAGAAGAAAATCTACCACGATATCCCAATAATTGTTCATCAACGGTCAAAAATTCTGAAGGAGTATAATTTGTTTGGCAATTATTGATAAATATATCCCAAATTTCTCGAACAGCTGCTAATCCATCTGTTCGTCTTCTTTCCGCACGAGTAGTCTTATCGTCAAAGCGCAAACGAGCCGATATAAATTCGAATCTTCTTACATTCATTGCTGCTCTATAAACAGAGCTACCAAACTCGTATGACCACAACTCAGTAATGCTGATTCGATTATCATTCTTCAAACCGGAGAAATATAACAGACCGAGAAATGCTTTTAATTCCACCATATCCAAATGTCTTTGATACGATTCGTTAGCGGTACCGTGTTCCGTATGATACTTGTCAATCTCGATATTTGTATACTTCAGTATTACCTCTAAAAGATTATCACTAAACAACGTTGACCAACATTCTAATGGAGAATTGGCAACTCTCGCATGACTTATCGCACCAGGTAGATGCACCACCAACCTTGACCGACGACCGCGCGTCTCAGGTAGAGATAAAGACCATCGATATTTATCTTTACCGTAAATAATGCGACGCCTTCTCGCCGTGGAAGTTGATGCTTCATGCTCCGTTGTCTCCTCCGTTGTCTCCTCTTCCGAGTCCTGCTCCGATTCATCTCCCTCTTCGAATTCGAGCTCGTCAGCTTCCTCTTCAGTATTTGAGTCATCTTGTTCTTCTAAAGCATCTAGTTCCTCGTCGCTGTCGTCTTCGCCGAAATACGAAACCGGCTCGTGGCGTCGCAATCTCCTCGCCACCTCTTCCGCCTGTCTCTGATTGTGAGCCATAATAGTCCTCTGTGGAATGTCAAATTAACAATAAAAATATTTTAAATACGCTTATTGTGTATAAAAATACATTTTTATAGAAAAGAAATTCTCACTTACCTTTCACACAACACTCACGTAATCCTCCAAATCCTCCAACCATGCACTTTCGTGTCCCACCAAGTAGCAGATCCTCCAACCATGCGCTTACGTGTCCCACCGAGACCGAGATTTTGATTGTTTACCGTTTCGAAAACAAATGCGCTGCGGCTCTGAGGTTTCTGCCTTATATTCCCCACCACAATAACTTTTTTCCGGCGTGGAGGGGATTCTCCGACGATCATTTGTTTTCCGGGAAAAACGACTGTTAGAAATTCGTAGGACACGAAAGGCATGGTTGGAGCGAATAGGGTTAAATAAAAAATTTATTTTGTAAATATTTCTCCACGCCAATTTCCATACACTTATACACTAACAAAAATTATAAATGCAATATTAAGAATTTTAAGTTTAAAAATTTCAATACAAAAATATAAATTAATTTTTAATAAATTATCAGGAGAATATAATAAGAAGAAAGAGAGAGAGATTGCACTATCTAAAATTTCAAATACTTCCCAATGTTCCAAAATATACAATTCTGAGAATTTCGGACTTCGAATCATGAAAATCAATAAGATATCAGAAGAACATAATCGGCAAGGAGGTTTGCAGTATATAAAATTCTAGATTTTTTTCAAAGTTTCAAAAATTGACGATTTGCAATTCGAAAAATTCGGGTTTTTAAATCCCAAAAATCAAGAAAGTCAAAAATCGATCAAGTATCAGGAGAATATAACCGGCAAGAATGTTGCATTAAAAAATTCCCAAAAATTTCTACTCTACTCAAAATTGACAAATTAATATTTAACATATATATATACTTAATACAATCATTTTAAGTGCAGGAAGTTCTGCAATTACAAAGAACAGAAACCTTATTCTACATTGGTATAACCTCGTTTCTTTTCAGAGAACTTAAGATATATACAAAGAAGAAAATGCTACAAATCGTTTGGAATACAGTGTGACAAGAGTTGTATAGTATAGTCGTATAGTCGGCTTATCTCGCTTAATAATAACACGCATGAAAAATGCGTAATGCTATCTTGAATTCATTGTGCACCGAGATCATCCGTACCGTTCGCAATGCAAAACTTTTCAAGCCGCAAAGGTGACGGTTTATTCAACAAGAATCTTAATTTTAAACCAAGGAAACTCATATGAAACGCTCAATTAACTCTGTATCTTCTTTTAGGAAGTGGACGTATTCGTCGAGCAGGCGTTTCTCCAACGAAGCGACATCCGACGTGGAGTACGATGTTCCGGTCGAAGCCATCCGTAACTTTAGTATAGTCGCGCACGTCGACCACGGTAAAAGTACATTAGCGGACAGACTGCTGGAATTAACGGGGGCTATAAAGGCAAACTCTGGCAAGCAGGTCCTGGATAATCTGCAGGTGGAAAGGGAACGCGGTATCACTGTGAAAGCGCAAACGGCATCGCTATTTCATTCGTATCGGGGCAAGAGGTACCTTCTAAATCTCATCGACACACCCGGCCATGTGGACTTTTCGGCGGAGGTCCATCGATCGCTGGCTCCCTGTCAAGGGGTCGTCCTGCTGGTCGATGCTAACGATGGTGTCCAAGCGCAAACGGTGGCCAATTATTATCTAGCGCGAGAGAAGAATCTTGTGATAATACCGGTGATCAATAAAGTGGACCTGAAGAACGCCAATCCGGAGAAGGTCAAGGAACAGTTGCAAATATTGCTCGATACGGATGAAGTGGATGTTATTAAAATATCTGCCAAGCTGGGCACCGGTGTCGATCAAGTTCTGGATGCTGTAGTCGAGAGAATTCCGCCGCCGACGGTGGCCAGAGATCAGCCCTTCCGAGCACTGATATTCGACAGTTGGTACGACAAGCATAAAGGGGCAATCTCTTTAATTTATGTCAAGGATGGATCGTTGTCGGTCGGCAAACAAATTAGTTCCGCACATATGAAGAAATCGTACGAAGTGCGAAATATCTTTCTTCTCAGACCTCATGCAGAAAATGTGAAGACAATGTGAGTGAGTATGACTCTTGAAAGCTTGTTTTACTGAAAGAAATTTAATTTTATGAATTAAATATATATAGATGAGAGTTTTTTAATCTTTATTCGATGTAATTTAGATTTGCTGGACAGGTAGGCGCTGTCTCGTGCAACATGAAGTCTAAGGAGGCTCACATCGGCGACACTTTACATCTGCGAAATCAGTCCGTCGAGCCTTTGGAAGGATTCAAACCACCAAAGCCAATGGTGTTTTCGGGTGTGTATCCGATGGATCAGTCGCAATTCGTCTCTCTGCAAGCAGCTATCGACAAGCTTGCCTTAAACGACAGCGCTGTAAATGCCACTTTAGAGTCAAGGTAAAATACTTTACCTTGACCATTTGTAAGATTCGTAATACATAGTGAAATCGCTTTCTAAATGTTGTCTGTAAATGGTGAATTGCACGAATAATGTTCAAACATCTTGATAAAACATGACCAAAAAAAAAATTGCAGCGCTGCGCTTGGAAGGGGATGGCGAATTGGTTTTCTAGGCCTGTTACATATGGAAGTCTTTATTCAGCGTCTCGAACAGGAATATGGGGCGCAGCCGATAGTTACGGCACCCGCGGTGACGTACAAAGCAAAGATCTTGGGCAGCAAAAATATAACGAAGTATCAAGGCGACACGGTGATCTTTAATAATCCGGTGCATTTTCCGGACCCCCAGATTGTTAGCGAATTTTACGAGCCTATGATAATCGCAACCATCATTACGCCAGGTATTTGCAATTTGACTACAGTATAGTTTAATTCATTCAGAATTTAAGAATATATTAGGCGACGGAAACTAAAAATACATTTTCAAATATTTTAATCGGCGATTTCACGACGACTGTTTCTTATTTTCTTTTTTTTATTGTTTAACACTTACAGATTAATCGATCCTTTTTTAAATGTATAGATACGTACGTGAGAGAAATTATGTCCCTTTGCCGAGAAAAGCGAGGAGTTGAGAAACTGACCAAGACCATTGGCGGTGACAGACTCATGTTGCAATACGTGATGCCATTGAACGAGGTGATTCTTGACTTTCACGATTGCTTAAAGAGCATGAGTTCCGGTTATGCTAGTTTCGATTATGAGGATTATGATTATGAGCCGGCTGACATAGTGAAGGTAATTATTTTTGCGACAAATTATCCTCGTGCGCTTTTTACACGCAATTTCTATTTCTCGATGGATTGTTTTTTGGTATATAATCATGTATAAATTTCAGTTGAATGTTCTGCTAAATGGAAAATTGGTAGAAGAATTATGCACGATTGTACATAGATCGAAAGCATCCGAGACGGGCAAGAAGCTATGCGTCAAGCTTCACGAAACCATTCCTCGGCAGCTTTTTGAAATAGCGATTCAAGCGGCAGTGGGGGCTAAAGTACTCGCGAGAGAAACTTTAAAGCCCTACAAAAAGGACGTGACAGCAAAATTAGTAAGTAAATTCACACCATGTGTATCTTACAATAAGGGTAGACTTTTAATTTAAGGGTTTCGCTTCGCTAACGTTGCTTCTTAATTCTTTCTCAGTACGGCGGTGATGTTACTAGAAGGAAAAAATTGCTGGCGCAGCAAGCGGAGGGGAAGAAGAAAATGAAGATGATAGGAAAGATTTCCCTACCACGGGACACTTTTATAAATATATTAAAAAGATAACAGCAATTTTGTATTTAATATAAACCTATTATTGCGACAAAATAATAACGAACTATGAAACAGTTCTGTATGAAATGTTTATCAATGTTAATTTATACAATCTGCCTTTTTTTCAAAGGTGCGTTTTTTAATACCATTCTCAAAACTATCCTCGGTATAATCTCGTCGCAACGGTAGAAAATATAATTCAAATTTCGCGCTCTCCGGAAGTCGCTGAATACGTACCGTGAAGAGTTTGGACATCGTCCGCCATTTTCAGCCTAAAATACAACTTCAACATGGCACAGCCAATCGAGTTCTCTTCCATCTCGGTTGATATTTTTTTCTTCTTCGCCCGAAACGGAATCCGGTATTTCCCTTCTGTTACTTTGCTATTCCGCGCTCCGCGAATAATAATAATGGCCGCGCTGTCTCGTGCCGTTTCGGGTCGTTTCTGCCGTACAAGTACCTTTGTACATTTATTTGGCTGTTAAACGGATGTGCCAGTGAATATTGATGTCGAGCGTGATGGAATTGAACGTACGTGCCACGAGGCTGTGACGGAAAGCGACTCGCTCTCGTTCTCCGCGCTGCGGAATTGATGGAAGCGTCGACTGCCACTTTCGAATCGTGCTGGATACCGTCATTTAGGAGAGTGGATACTTGTCTGCTAACCAGAATTGAAATGCTGATCAACTAGTGGAATAGAGGCGTGAATGTAATCTATAATAAAAAGAAATTGAGGTAACGGAACGTTTACGTGTTGCATTATTGTTTGGCATTATTCTAGAACTGTTTTTGGCACACCACCTATCGAGACGAAACACTTTGGATATTGTACAGAGCACATCAAAATTCCTGATATAAATTCATAACATAATTTATTAATTATATTAAGTTGAAATTTATGAAATAAATGTCAACTTAGTAACTTTAATGCTAATTTAAATATTTGAACTTGGCAATAGTCACCTGGGGTGGTTTTTACAGCGATCAGAGTATGTACATCAATTCCTGATACAATTTTATCGTAACAGGCTTGTTCTTTTAGCTGAACTTCTTGCATGGTTTATCCTTCCTTTTTTTCTTTTCACAGAAAGAGAGAAAAGGAGAAAAGATGAACTGTGCAAGTTCAGCTTAATAGAACAGACCTGTAATTTATTAAATTACGTTAAGTTGAAATTTATTTCATAAAAGTGTTGACTTAATTTTAATGTCAATTTAAATATCTAACCCAGGCAAAATGTAATTCACACAAAGATATCAAACTTTCTTCTTAGTCATTAGGTATACTTAATTTTTTTTGTAAAAAATATTACAAGCACATATGTGTGTTTCTGTAACCGAGTAACAATGTTTAAAAATATAATAGTAACTGAGTAGTAATGTTTAAAGATGTAAGACATATATATACCTACTATACTGTTAATAAACTATATATATAATAAAAGGACAAATATATTGTTTATGTATTATCTATCTGTATATCTTTGAAATAATAATAAAATCTTTACCGTTTGTAGAGGAGACATCTACAGGTATACATCAAGTTGAAATATTTTGTATCAAAAGCGATACCAAAATGGCGCCAGTACCTCTAGAGGGTCATCAAACTCCTGTCACAAACAACATACCACAGGAAGGCAATCGTGGTGGATCTATATCCTTAGGCATGCTCATAGATTTTATCATACAACGAACGTATCATGAACTCACTGTTCTTGCCGAACTGTACGTACAAAATATGGAATGTCGACAAGTATATCTCAACATTTTGCAACATGATTTATGTTTTTGTGGCTTGTTCTGTTTAGTCTACCTCGTAAAACGGACATGGAACGCAAAATTGAAATTTACAATTTTTCCGCTCGAACAAGGCAACTGTACGTTCGTTTGTTGGCACTGGTAAAATGGGCGAATAGCGCGTCTAAAGTGGATAAATCTACAGTAAGATATACATTTTCACACGTCCTATAGTCATTTAATTGAAATGTACAATCTATTAAATGTATTCTTTATTTCAGCATATAATGGCGTTTTTAGATAAGCAGTCATTGCTTTTTGTCGATACCGCGGATATGCTGGCGAGGATGGCTCGTGAAACCTTGGTACACGCCAGACTTCCGAATTTTCATATTCCCGCAGCCGTGGAAGTACTTACCACTGGGACATACGGTAGATTACCGGCTTGCATTCGAGTGAGTATGCACGGAAAAAAATAACGATCATGTTTTAAAGAAATATGACTCGAAAAATTATTACATTTGTATTTTCGAACAGGAGAGAATAGTGCCTCCGGATCCCATCACTCCTTCAGAAAAGAGAAGCACGTTGCAGAGATTGAATCAGGTTATTCAGCATAGGTTGGTCACTGGAAATTTGCTACCACAAATGCGTAATTTAAAGGTACATACGAGACAATGAGACGAATATCAATTCTGTTAAAAGTTACATTATGATTATTTTATAGACGAAAGTATCGTTAATTAAATTCAATTTATTATCGATATATAGATCGAGGCAGGAAGGGTGACGTTCCTGGTTGAGCAAGAGTTTTCGGTGTCTCTTACGGTTATGGGTGATGGGCCGACAGTACCGTGGAGATTGTTAGAATTGGAAATTTTGGTTTCGGATAGGGAGACTGGAGATGGCAAGGCATTGGTACATCCTTTGCAAACTCGATACGTACATCAGGTACGTTTGTCCCACGGTCAAGTTAATAAGTTATAAACTCTAAGATGTTCAAGAAATTGTTGAAGAAATGAAATTTTCCTCTATGACAGGTTGTTCAATCGCGATTGGCTGAAAGTACTAATCCACTATCGGAGGTGTATCATATCCTGCATTATTTTTGTCAGTCGTTACAATTAGAAGTTTTATATTCTCAAACGTTAAGGCTGATACGGGACAGATTGGACGATCATATTCACGTAGATGAATATACACCTGGCAAATGTCTTTCCATATCTTATTGGAGGTAAGAGTAATGTGCACATATACACGTTTAAAAGAAATTTAGCAAAAGATTCTGTACATGCACAGGATGTTTATATTCATATATGAGATCTTTTCAGGGAATTAACGAGTAAGGATCCACGATCGGAGCTTGGATATAGATTAACTGTTCAAGTGGATCAACACGACCCTGCGAGACCCCTCGCAGTTGTGCATATCCCGTCGTTGGGTAGTAAGGTAAAGCAATACGCTTATATTTCTCAAACGTAACATTATATCACGATAATTTGCGCAGGAAAGCGAGATAGCGCATAGAGCCATCAGGTCGGACCAATTATCGATGGAATGCTTACTCGTACACACTATCTACATCCGGACGCGAAGTCGTTTATCTGAATTGAAGCAAGAGCTACAAACGATGCTGAAAGACGTTGAATGTAAGTTAAGAATATATTTTTCTTCGTCTTTTACTTCTTATATTTGAGAATGAAACAAAGAGGTATTAATTTAAATGATATCTTAGGTACCTTAGCGGGATCTCCAGCTATTCTATCAGTACCTATATTGCAACCATGTTTACGTGCTGAGCTTCTGTTAGTCACAGTCGACACTCATACCGGTATGCTACAGTGTCACGTCCCTCAATACGACGCACCGCTTGTCCCAGAATTAACAACGGCGCTGAACGGGGATCATTCGCGTCTTCCGACACTTATCTCTGAACTGAGGTACTAATTATCGCGACGATCCTGCTTTTGTGAGCTCATTCCAGCAAACTTAAAGTAAAATTTTGGTTTCGACAGATTTTGGATAACGCAGAGACGTTGCGAGAAAACGTTGCAGCATCTACCAGCCACCTCGCACGAACGTTTGCCTGTTTTGCATCATCCGGATCATCCTATGTCTAAGATTAGTCGACACCGGATGTTCGTACAATTGCACAGACATCCTACAGTCATATTGGTACATATTTATTTTTATTAATTTCAAAAACTGCGATAATAATTAAAAATATTCTTATCTGAGTTTTGTTACAGTGTGTGTGTACTTATACATATGTTTTGCGATATGCTTTATTCCAGATTGTCGCGTTCAAAGAGAAAGAAAGCTCGCCATGTGAAATAGAATGCTCCTTCTATCTCGCTGTAGTGAAGCACAGTTCCATCGAAGACGATCCGCACGATGATAGCATTGAAACAGAAATACCAAAAATGTATCTGAAGGTCCAAAGCCTTATTGAGTTTGATACTTTTGTGATTACACATGGCCCGTTTACAAGTGTCGATAGTGGTGAGTAGATTTATATAAGTTTTATATTATGTCTTGGAATAAAGATGAGTACGAAAAATTTACGTATATTAACGTTTATTGTTTATCACTTATTTTATTTGTTTTTTTTCCCTCATTTTTATTTAACGACACTACAGTCCTTGCTCGTTCTAAACATTATATATTAAAATCAATAACTGATAATAATTAACAATACTATAATATTTGTTTGTCATTTAATTGTTACATGGATAAGTAAATGATTCATATAGATGTGCATGTACTTGTATATAAATTTAGTTTATTGGTTATTTTGTACTTGGCATAGACGCGTAAGTATGTAGATAAAAGATATGTTGTGTTAAGTAAGTGTAGCTTGTAATACAATTTAGGTTTAATCCCTATGATTTTATATAATGATGTTTCTTTACTATCGATTTCCAGCAACTTTTAAATCTTTTCTAATTACTAGTGATAGGTATAGGTACACTGTATGTATTATATAAGAATCAGATTCTTACTTATATGTCAATACCAGATCTTGTAGCGGGTACTTCGAACATTTTCTTTAATTGATTAACATAGTCATAACACATGCATACATATATGTATATAAACGATAGAAAAGGAGGAAAATTTTCCTCGTAAAACTGGTATTAACATGTAATAACCAATTAGCCGTTTTTATAATTAGCTTAATTAGTGTTATCGAGCTAATATATGTACATGCAGTGCTCTCGTATTAAGTACATACATATAATCTACTCTGCCTGAGAATGTTAAGATCAATTTTCTCACTAACTCTTACTAACATACTCATATTCTTTTTGCTCGTTATCGTTATGCAATATAATACAGTGTACGGATAATAATTAACATCTGGCATCGTTCAGTGTGGTATCGGCATACTGCTCTGCTACTTTTAGGGGGATTTAACGGGTGGATTTTTTAGGGAATAATGATCAAGATGGGGGGTGCATTACAGAAGTGGTGGAGACGACCAACAACAAACGTAGAAGCACCGGGGTCGGAGGAAGGACAGACGCGGTAGGAACGCCACAGAATAGAAGACCAAAGCATCCGGCTTACTTTATTCCGGAGTTGGCGCATGTCGTCGCTTTGTGCGACGAGCGAATACCGTTCGTAACTCTGGCTCAAGAAGTAAGATTTTATTTTCTCATTGATTATTTTTCTTTTTTTTTTTACAACACGACGTGTCTCTCGCAAAGCAACGTGTGCTTCGAGATGTCCTGTACACAACAGCGAATTATTCCGTATTACAAATTATTTTAATTTAACATTAATATGCAGCTTACTAGACGAGAGATAGCCCATCAAGGTCTCCAGGTTGAGGCGAATGCCACGGCATTGGTGCTCAAACTTGTTCAATTGCCTCCGCCTTTGCCGAGCATGACTACGAGCAGTGCTTGGCACGCTCTTCTTAAAAGACTCCTGAGTGTCTCGATTAGAGTTCAGGGCAAGGGCATGGCTAAAACTTGGACAGTGGAATTTGTATTTTTTGGTAGTCCTCTTTCCAGCAGTCATTCCAAAGAACAAGGTATCGATATTGTTTCTGTATGTAAGAGAATTTACTTATCATTAATATGTATATTTTTCATAATTCTACAGTTTAAAATTACGAATTTGACAATGAGGTATTTATTACAAATTCGTCAATAAGTTTTTTACTTTTTTAGTTATTTTTTGCGTGATTACATTTTCAAAAAATCATATATGTATATATATTTGTGTATACATTTGTGTATATAACGTATGAAAATTAATGTTTCCATTTTAACTTTAAAATATGGCACACGTAATTTCTGTTTTGACTGACAATGAGTTAAATCGGATCTTCTCTTGTGAGCAAATAAAATGCATCATCGTCTTTTGTTTATTTTAATAGAAGAATTATTCAAGTGCAATCTTTACAGGTTTGCGAAGACCAGTTTATTTTCAATACGAAATGGGTATGGCCGATACCGTCTCCCGCACTGTAGATGCCTTATTAAACGATTGGGCACAAATAGTGCATTTGTATTCGATTGTTCAAGATTTAGCTGAATATTTCAAAATGGGTGCGTCATACATTACGATTAAATCTTATGAGTCACACATCATTTACGTTTCTGTGTAATTTGCAATGCCTGGTTTTTTTATTCCAGAGAAATACAACTTACGCAACATGGTTAGCATTAAGTCTTATAGTTATAGCAAGCTGGTTCTTGCGTATGGTCCAAATCAAGGTGCAACTGTCACCGTACAGTGGAGTACAAACGACAAGGCTTTTAAGATGGTATTTGGTAGGAGTAAGTTTTCTACATTGATATCCAATTTCGAGTGTTTGCTCGATGAGAACTGTGTAATGACGAGAGTCTCGCTTGTATCCTTAGGTCCGACGAATCCGGTGACCAACGCGCATTCTATAATGAAGGAACAACTAGAAGCTCATTTGAATAGACACACGAATTTGGCACAAATTATTCACATACTTAACGAAACGCTTCAGCCGCTCACGTCGATCAATAAATTACCATCAATCCCACAGTTATGCGTGCATGCGGTAAGTGCACGCGCTCACCCGCCTTTTTTCGGTTCCGATTTACGGCTAAATTCCCCTCTACAGAGACCACGAGTGCCAGTACAAACGTTTACTATAATGCCACAATGTGTCACTTTAGTAAGGATAGCGTATCAAGGGATGTATTGTTTGGAATTGCGTATGCGCGGCGGGGGTTTGGTAAGCTTGCGCGACGGTGCTTACAGTCGTTTCGACAGAAGTAATGTCGTTGACGAGTTCACGCCTACGCAAGGCTTAAAGGTAAAAAGATAGGGAAAAAAGACGTCATCAATTAATTGAAGGAGTTCATGCGAGATAAGCGTGTTCGTATCGTTGCAGGCATTCTTATCGAAATATGTCGACGAGAATGCGGTATCTAGAAGGAGATCGCAATCGGAGGACGATAATCCACCGTCGCCTGTCACTATGGACAGCGACGGTACTGGAGGCAACGTGGGCTTCTTAGGGCATCATAGAAGCGGGCCCCAATCGCCCGCCCAACAACGCGAAGGTCTGAGATTTCATCCACCGCTGACACCACCGTCTGGTAGCAATCCTCACACACCGGCTAGTCCTCATACTGCAAATATATCCCAAGTAAGTCGTTCAGCTAAGACAATACATGAATCATTCTTCTTCTTAGAACTTTTATCCTCCAAGGAATACGCTTTATTTATCGCTTTGTTACCTGGGATTTATCTTTTTATTTCTTGTTTCTATCAGTGGAACTTTCTACTTAAAATTGGCCTATCAGTTGCCGCAATAAGTCACCAATAAGACTAATTTTAAACTCTTATCTTTAGGCAAATCAACACCAAAGTTTCGGAAGCAGTCCTGCAACTTCGTTTAATTTAGCATCTCCGCCGTCATTACCGCCAAATACACCCAATATGTTACCACATCCGTCTCCTGGATCGGGACTCGTTGCGAATAGTCCTCTAAATCCGATGCACGTTCCCAGTCCGGCTGGCCTCATGCCGACATCATCGCCTGGACCTTGCAGTAATGTTCAAGTAGGACATTCTCCTGCTGGTTCGTTCATGCAAACAGGTACGCATGACAGAAAATTCAATTTTTACATCTTTACAATTTTACTTGCGTCTTCCAAGATTTTGTTGTTTTGTTTTTCATGAATTTCAAATTTTTTTCTCCTTGTCTTAAAACCCTTGCACGCTTGTTGCATTTAAAACAATTTAAAACAAACGCAAAAAATAAATTTTTTATTTTGAATATATAACATTATTGAAGAATCAAGTCGAACAACAAGAGCGAGCCTCTCTTTTCAACGTTGTTAATGATACGTCGATTTTCAGGTCATATCGACGGTAGTCCTTTCCCGGCCTCTCAAAGCATGGCTTCTCCGGCTGCTTCCAACTGGCCTGGATCTCCGAGTGTACCGAGGCCTTCCCCCGCGAGACCCGGACAGAACCCAAGTCACGCGGCGTTGCATAGCCCGCAAGCCTCCGATCACAAGACTGGTAGTCATATATCCAGGGTATTACCGCAGAGATCCTGGGCAGGTGCCGTGCCGACGCTTCTCACGCACGAAGCCCTAGAACTGCTTTGCTGCCCGTCAATCCATCCGTCCAACTTGCCGGGTCCGGATATGTCGCCGCTCGAGAGATTTCTGGGCTGCGTCTACATGCGAAGACAGTTGCAACGTTTCATCCAGATGGATGATTGCGTAAGCAAACTTGCGTTTACCTTAATTGAAAATTTTATTTCCAAAAAAGCTATAAAATTAATATTGACTTGTAGCATATGTGTGAGGTGAGGTATATATAAAAAGGTTTTAGAAAAGTTTTTTATCTATTACAGTTATACTTGATTCATCATAGATGCATATTAGTTTGAAATTGTCTATTCGGCATGAGAATACTTTTTAGGCAAAATCGTACAACTCGCGGTTAATTTTTGATGCTATTAGTAAAAAGTATTAGTAAAAGTAATGCTATTAATAAAAAATAAACATACAAACATAAAATATATATTTGACACGTATATATATGAATTGTTGTAGTTAACCGGTATCAGTGCCGAGCCCGGTGTGGTACACTTCAAAGCCGAGAGCTTGCAATGCAGAGTCGGATTAAATCCGCAACATTTCCAATCTCTTCACATAAAGGTTCTCTCTCTTCCGGAGTATAAAGATCAATGGAGTCTGGAAGAGTTACAGGTAATTAAAACAGACACCTTGCGTACGAGACGCAATTCACTCGAGCAAATAAGATAAACGTCGTTTTATTCGCAGATTATTGAGAAGTTCTTCGACAATCGAGTAGCCGCCCCACCTTATAAACACAACACCCTGTCTGGTTTCGGGAGGATGCTTAACGTGCGTTTTAAAGTGTTGAAGGACTTCGTGCAGATAATGAAGCTGGAGCTAGTTCCCGGTCTCGTACAGCAGCAGCAGTTAAAGTGGTCTGTCCAGCTGTGTTTGCGCATCCCGCCTTCCGCTGGGCCAATCGTGCCCCCCGGCACGGAGGGCGTACACGTTTGCAGGAGCAAAATCCTATTTTTCGTGAGTATCATTCGTGTTCTTTACGTCGTAGTCGAGGTTCACTTTACACTTACAATCAATCCTTAAACTTATGGCGCTTGCAGTTGCAAATAACGAGAATGGGTATACCGTATCAAGGAGAGACGCCATCCTTGGTGCTGCCGTTCGTGTACGACGTAACTACGAATTTAACGCAACTGGCTGAGAGACGAGATCTTAGCCCTCCTCCCACGGCGCTTACGGCGGCATCCATGCAGCTGAAGAGATTCGCCGAGTACGGCGCGAATCAGTCGGAGTGCTCGTTGTTCCCCGCTGTACGGGACCTGTTAGCTAATTTCACATTGCCGACGGAACCGCAAGTTATGCCACAGGTGATGAACAATAGAAATCTCAAATGCATTTATATAAAGCTATTAGATTGTGACGCTAAGAGGAAGAAATCAAGTAAATCTTTTTTCTCATTCTATATATCGAGATTAATTAATTTTCATAACGTATGCAGCGTGAGACTAATGGTGATATTCCAATATTGCTTGTAACGATATATTTATTGGCACATTTTATTTATTAAAAATCATTCCATAAAGTAATCATGAATCGACGAGACTTGAAATATGGCTCTCAATTACATAAAAACCTGTATAACAATGTAGTTTTTGTTCAGAACAATTTAAGATATCAACGAACGTCGTTGATAAAACATTTTTAAAGAAAATCTAATAGAATGCAAAATTAATTTATATCTCATTTGTAACAGGTTGGCCCGCCCCCTGCGGGAAATCAAGTGCCCACCCAGCAGATCCAGAACACGACGATGCAGATGCATTCGCCTATGGCAGGCGGCCAAGGTCCGCCGCAGGGACCATACGGAATCCAAGGCATGCAGCCGATGGGCATGATGGGCGGGCCGCCTCAATAGGACTTGCTTTACTCTCCTAATCCCCTTTGTCTGCCGAGTCATTCAACGTGGATGAACTAGAAATGTAAACCTCGAAGAATTCGCGAGACAATTCGCCCGTGCTATTCTAACATTAGAGGATTTACATTTTATGGGGTATCTTAGGAGAGAAAAAGCTGTGACATTCGCTGCGTTTAATCCAACGAAAAAAAATGGACTGATAAAAGAAGAGATATTACGAAACGTTCCCTGTGTGAGTGACAATCTCTGATATCTGAGTTTGGTACTGTAAATACGCGCTTTGTATTTTAACAACGCTATCAGCAAACTCTACCACTAAAGCAAATATGCTAAAACGAATGTATAAAATGTATCATAAGAATTAGGTCATATAAGAATTATATTAGATTATATCATTCGACGTAGCTTAATTTAATTTAACGGAAAATTACTACAGCTGTAACTGTACTTGCCAGCGACAATTCCTTTATATTTACATTCTGCTTCATGTAAAATTATATTCTCCACTGGAAATTATCTATATACAATTATACAAGTATAGAATACAAATCTATAGAGGCAAGTATCTTTTTTATAACATATGAACAATATATAAATGTGAATACGAAATAATGAAATTTATGACATTGTTGCAAATAAAAGGCATTATAGATATGCGAAAAAAATGTAAAAATGTTTATAAGTATATTTCTTAGATGTATTTAGTTCGCATACAGTAGCGAGTACGCATACTGCGCTTTCGAATATATGTGAACAACGATTTTATCAGACGTACAGTTTTTATACACACACACACACACACACATATATAAAAGTTGCGTTATTTTATAATCAGCATATTTGACAAAATAAGCTGTTGGATATCTAAAATGTTTTTGTGTCAAATTAATTTAAATATATATATGTGTCCACATTTGTAATCGATTGATTCTTGATATGTTTCCGTAATGAATCGATAGAAGAAAATAATTCGCATTACACATTTTATCTGGCATTTATGAATAATATATATAAAATTTTTATTTTGGTTCTGTGTGTATACAGCTTCTTTCTTTTTTTACAAAAAACATATAATACTCTTAACAAAAATCAATCGTACTATATTCTTAATATATGCAATTGTACAGTACTCATAGTTAATAATAATGTATTGGAATACAACTGTATATCAATAATCGCATCTCAAATATATACACTTTTAGGTCAGGTATCAGTCTCTGTATATAAAATTTGAATACATCTTGATACACCTATTTCACATGACAATTCTTAATTGCACCGAAACAAAAACTGAACGTTACTAAATATCTTAAACTTTGAACTTAAACTAAGCAATATCATGCGTTCTTGGCCGTGTTTGTGTTTTGTTCGTCTTCTTTTTTTTTTGGTAATCTTATCATTACAATATCTCACATGGTTTTTCAAAAATAATTTTTTTTTTTGCACAGTAGCCTATATTCTTTGTATCTTTAGTACCAAAAAGATACTCGTGTGTATATATTATATATTGATTTACGCGAAACTAAATTTATCATGTACCATAGCATACGACTACAACACGCGCTTTTATAATTCATTATCATTTTTATCGCAATTCAGAGTAAACACGTAAACTTGTCACATTAATCTTGACTCGACTTCCACAAATTCTACGTGAGATTTCTAAACTGGTGTCTTAGGCTTTTCGTTTTTTTACTGTTGTCTTCTTTTTTTTTCTTGACCTTAAATAGCTTTTCTGGAATTTATACATTCAATATTATGGAACTACATATTAGACAGCGTTATAAGGATCAGGTCGTTTACATTGCAATATTTATCCCTGTTTAACTCAATTCTGTGAACTTAATGATTTTAGTTGGGCAGGAAAATGCAAGTCGATGTATTTTCCGTCGAGGAAACGACGGACAAAAGACGTTATGATTTCGAAACTATTTTCTTCAATTTATTTCTTTCGTGACTAAGTGAAAAATAATTTGTTGAAAGGTCTCTCGTCTGGACCGATACTTGCGGTTCACGTTAGGGGATCAGATTGCAATAAAAAGAACCTTTACATTACTCTTTAAGATACTTGACGGACACACTATGCGAACGTTTAAAAATAAATATAAATATTCATAGTGCACAATATTGCATGCAAAAAACGTGTTCTTCATCTCTAAATTAAACTGCACATTATGTAAAAACAAGCATTTCACTATATATCATATAGTTTTTAAACTATTAGCTAAACGAGTTAATGAGAATCTCAATCCTCCAATTAGTCTGTGCGATATCTCGTGGATCGCTCTTATCCAAGCGATTCGTCATTAATTGTACGTTACACGATTCATAAATGTGTACGATAAAATATTCTTTTTGACATAGCTTCGATACTTCGTGCCAGAGGTAAAAGGAGGTTTGATTTTGTTTTGACTTCCTTTATTATGGGAACAGTGATGTGCAGCACATTTTCATACGCGGCAATCGATAAAGAAAAGAGAATCAACGTTCAATATAAACTCTGACTTCGTGACTTGCTCACAAAGTGTATACGTATGTGTAAAATGCTCCCGCCGATCTCTATTGCTGTCAGCAATGACGCGCCGTTCCTATTTCTCAGACAATTATACATCTGATATATATCTGACAATTTTTAATTACTCAGGTACATATATATGTATATAAGAAAAATATAAAGCTAGAAGCACATATATCAGGTCGGAACGTATCACACATGAAATTTTGTATCGGTAAATGTTACGTGAAAAGAAAAGCCTTCTTCGGTCTCCGTCGCCAATAAATCCTTCAAATAAAACATCCTCTCGCAAAGTAAATATTTCTTTAATGGCTCGAGCAAACAGCTCATTAGCATTTCGTAATCGTTATCTCTCCGACTTATATTCCGCCGGAATGCTACTGAAACAGTGACCTTTGTGCAAGACTATTTTAGTAAGTGTTACATATAAGAAGCGCTTCCACCAAACATTTTTGCCAAATGCAATAAAACAATGTAAAAAATGTGCCAGAAAAGTATTCTCGAGTATCTAGAATGTTCCACTATCAGTTTTGAGAGATGAACGAAACATCGCGTGTTCATGAGTATTCCAAGTTGTGAGTACAAGCATCTAAAACGTTTTACGAAAATATTGTAATATCGTACATCGCGTATGTACAATCTACTGTCGCGTTATCAACGTTCATCCGCGTTAACTTGTGGACGACCAAGAGCCGGAGGACGAAAAGGAAAGGGAATTGGGGATTCACATCGTCGGACCCGCACGGCCACGGTGGTATCCCGGCCGCGTTTCTCAATCATTTTAAACGCTTGTACCTCCGTAATATACAAACACTTAGCGAAAAACTACGAAACGTTAGCGATTTACAGTGACGTTTTGGGATACTTCGTATCGTAATATATATGTATATACATGCGTATACCGCTTGCGATACGCAACGCGAGATATATATATCTTTATCAATCTTACATATATATTACGCACCGTAAAATATATAAGATTGATGGATTCCGGACCTGAGTTCTCCGTCGAGAAAAACGCGTAACGCCCAGCCATGTATCTCCTACGTCACTGCCAATGTGATCTTTCGTTTTTGGTTTTTTTTTCTTTTTTATTCCCGAAACGTTTCGTCAACTCAAGCGTGAAGGGGGTTTTCTGTCGGCTTCTCGGCTAGCCTAGGCTGGGCTAGCAGCTAGAGTTTCAAGCAAGCAAGGCACAGGAGCACTAAGGGCTCAACGTGCTAGGAGGCACTACTCAACAGTTCCATGCTCTTAATGCCTCGTCAACAGCAGCACCAACAAGTTAACACTGGAAACGAAAATGTCTAGAATGTGCGGCATGAACAATTAGTAGCGATGGTAAAATAGTATTCGTAAAAACTACCGTCCGCATTAAGATTACCGTCGGCTTCGTGTGTGTACGTACGCGCACGCCGGCACCGGAGAAGGAAAAAACGACGAACGAAATCACCTTCGTCAGGTCGATAGTCGCACACAGTACAGCACGCGGTCCGCGATTAGAAATAACGTGGACCCCCCCAAACAGTCCAAACAATACGTTTATGCATTGTTCCGTACCCCAAGCGGCACGGAAGATTTGCGGCGGAAACATTGCGAGAGAAGATTGCGATACCGCTAAATACGTACGGCAGGAATGCAGCAACGTTGCTGCAGGAATGCAACAATGTTGGAACGTCTACCTCGCATCGCAGTTTGCTGCGACGTGAATCGAAAGCTTCCGTGCCACATGGGGCGTTAAATCGTTGTTAAGTCTAGAAAAGTTCAGGTACGGAAGAAAACGCGTAAGATTGTTTGTGCATCATCTGTTTTTTTTTTTTTTGCATTTCTGGTTCGGTACACCTGACACGTGCGTTACGCGACGCGCGTGATCATATTGTCGAAAATGCAGTGCAATTCGTCGGTTAACTCTCGTCGAAATAAACAAAGAATCGGAAGTTTCTTTCGCGTTTCACTTGTACAATGTATACGCGCCGAGATATCGCAGAGAAACTCTAGAAAAATATACTCTATCTAAATATATATACACGTATCCCGCTAAGGAAATGATATCTTCGATTCGTAAGGTCCGCATGAAATCGTTGCAGTGTGTGCGTACAATTTAGTTTCTCAATTATCTCAGTCTTGAAATATTTTTGTTTTTGCGCCTTTCTATTTTTTGGCTCTGGCCCTCCGCGTGTGTTCGGTGCGCATACGTACAGATTTGCGTATACAGCAGCGTGTGTTAAACATTGAAAGTACACTAACATACATATTATCGATTTCTTATGAAGGTAATGTGGACTTCTCCTCGAAATTGTACGTTGTCCCATTTACAATAATGCATTTTTGTTTTGTGTTCTTTACATATGTAAACGTGAGATGAGACACCTCATCCTGCGGTTTCTGTGATGTATCTGTTAGGTACCGTATAGCGTTTGCAACATTGAGACAATAGATTGCTGACTAAGCTACTATAACTAATGAGAAGGGAGAAAGGAAACAGTTAAATGTTTGTGTTACTTGCGTACCACAATTCCGAGTAGAATTTTCGCTACGTATGTTTAATAACTCGTGCCGATAGCTGTTCGGTTGAGTAAACACCGTGAAATCTCAAATGAATTCACGCTGAAGCTTAAATGAAACTTACAGGCCCAATTGCATACTTGTTTGGCTCGACAAAAATACATTTGATAATTCGTTCCAAAAACAAAATCTCTCTGCACTCATATTTATATCTATTATTAAACTCGTATTAGTTGAATTACGAAAGTGCATTATTTATGGATGGAACGCTTTGATTAGTGACTCGTATATTTTCTAAATTTTGGCCTCGTCTATTAGCAATCATAGTTGTTGCTTCGTAACTAATTCGTAAACAATTGATAAACAACGTCTTTATATGCAAGACTCGAAAAATGTCTAATTATAATAATTAACGTCATTTAGATTAATTGTAAACATGAAACAACAATTGCACATATTTAAACGTCTAATTACGTATTATGCTACTTTACATTTTTTTCCCCATTTGCATACTTTATTTCTTTTAATTCATTTTATGCATTTGATAATTCGTCATTATTAATACAAAATGTCTCTCGCTGAACACACTTTCTTTGAATTATTCTCCTTGACCAATTCTAAGCTGATTTTCTCTTAACAAAGATGTCGAGATCAAGAATGAAAAGCGTTTTGGCTAACAAAATTAAATTCTTGAGTTAATTTCATTAGTATTTTAATAGTATTTTAATGTAAAGCTCAGTTACAAGAACATATATTAATATTAGTATATATGTATATATATACATACGATTGAAAAGTTGTGATAAATTTCGGTTCTCCATTAAGGAAAAATCGACTCAAAATTGGCCGCGATTTAGAAAAAATGACGTTCGGCGAGGGACGCTTTATAGATACTAAAACAATGAAAATAATGACTTTTTGATTAATGATCGTACTATTAATGCACACTTCTAATTTTCATTATCACAAGATGCCGTTTCTGCTCCATGATATATCCATTCCATATAAAATCTCCTGTTCAAAGTAAACCAACACTAATCGCTCTGCACCTGTTACAGGTGCGTCTACGTAATCGATGCAATCGGGCCTCTCTCTCTTTTTCTTTCTTTCTGCCTCCGTACATCTGGCTCTCTGTCTCTGTCAAATAATATGTAACAGCATGGCCATGCAAGGGTGGAGAGCAAAGCTACCATGCCTCATAGAATTCACGAAAGAACGCTTGTAGAGTAGAATGGATGATAGAACTAAACGCTGCAGCGCGAAGCAGCAGCAAGGAAGGGATCGGCTGTCAACTGACAGCTTCACCTCCGTCTTACTTGAAAGCAAACCCCATCAAAATCATCATCCTTACTTCAGCACCTCACCAGGCCTGTCTCGACGATACGTCTACACAAGCTAAAAGAACGTCCATTTGTCAATGCCTTCCAATTGAAAAAAGGTTCTACTTTAATATGGATGGATTGTGATTTCAGATGGATATGCGCGTGTGTAACACCGGTAATCTCTTCGCACCCGCGACGAGGCATTCACCTCGCCGTCGGGGAACCCGAACGTGAAATTGTGCTGCACTCAACAACACTTTCACTGACCGATCGACCTCGGTCATTTATAAAAGCTATGGAAAACCGTGCGATAGTTTTTTTCTTTTTGTTCATATTGACAAGACGGAATGCGAGATATTGAAAATAACTATGCGATCGAACGAATGTTCAAGAATCCTGGGAAAGCAAGCTGCCCGATGGGCGATCGTAACCGAAATACGAACTTTATTACCGCGAATTTTTTTAGCTATTTCACGTTCATTTCACGTTCTTCGTGCGAGAACTTGGACGTCAAAAGATGCCAGCCGAGGAATAATCTAGTACGATATGTACATTATATTGGTCATTTCGCCCGAATTCAAAAGCATTTTGAGTAAGCACGTTACAAGGCAATGACGAGATATTTGAAATACAAATGTTGATACAGATCGTTCAAGCGGGCGTTGAGCGGATAGAGACGAGTATTATAATAACAACGCGCGGAATATAAAAAGAATCTCCAAATATTTTCGTCCGCGTGACGTTTACGTCGAAAACGTGTTTCCTTCATTCGGCCTCTTTGTTTTCAGAAAGGAAAGTTTTTCCAACACGAACGACAAAACGATTTGCTCGCGGTGTCCACTACGACATACATTCCACGTTAATAATCTCGGTGAAAGCGAATGGCGTTTACATATGTACATTGGCACTTTAGTGTCAAAGTAAAACGCTTGACAACTCGCGACCGATTCCGCGATTGACGTAATTTTGGCACATGCTAACTTTAAAGCTTTCACATCGACAAAGATCATGAAATCCTCTGTGCGCTTTCCGCTCAACGCGATTTCCGCTGAAATTCGTACGTTAACATGCGAGCGATCGAAGGGCTCGCAGTAGTACTCGTGAAAGCGATCGCGATCAGCGATCCCTCTCTCCCATCGATTGGGTGTAACGTTAAATCGTTTTTTCATCCGCAACCCTTCGATTCTCGTGAAGTTATAGCTCTGAAACTGAATGCGGCCGAAGCGCATGATGCGATACGATGCCATCGGATTCAACTTGCGTCGCCATTGCGTTGGAAAGTACACGAAAGCATGTACCTACATATATGCATATACATATATTTATATGTATGTGTATATATACAATATATATGCATGTATACATAGGTACATTGTGTGTTATATACGTATATTAAATATACACGTACAAACACAATCGAGGTATATATTCGCGGAGTCCTTAAAGGAAAAAGAACTGCGTTCAAAAGAACTGCTGGCAGAAAGCTTAGCACATTCTGCTCTCGAGGTTACTCCTTGCCAGAAGGTTCTACGCATCGATAAACTGCAAAGTGTCAAAGATGTCACATTTTTACCGTAAATGAAACAGAGCTGACGTCCCTAACGGCCAAGGAAATCAGTTCAGCGGAAATAAGTAAGTTACTTTTGCGCACTTAATACCGGATTTTAGTAACTGACTTTAACACCGAGCCTACCATGTTGTGGACGCCAGTAACAGCAGGCTAGGTACAACGCCAGGATAATGACCAGGACCTCGACAAAGACCAGGGTAGCGGCCACACCGATCACTATCGCCGCGTTCTCCTCGATGGCGGTCATCATGGCCTGGTAGCAACCCTACGAATAAGCAATCATGTGTGTCAACTCTTAACACACGACATATCAACATATATCCTAAATAGCTCCCTGTACTAATTTTTCCGCAAGTTCGAAGTCGATCTTTCTTAAAATAAAATTTAAAAAAAATCAAGACGCCTAAACTAAAAATGAAAATTTGAGTGAATTTTTTACGCGCGTTTAATTGGATTTTAAAAGTAAATTTCAAGTGTAAACAATCTCGCTTTCACGAAGTTTTAATCTGAGAATCAAATGGCAGAAATATCTGTCTCTATTATCGAAAGAGATATAATCGGAAAGATTAAATCTCATCGCTAAGAAAATGTTGGTTAATTCAAAAATAATCGCAAAGTTCGTATGCGAAGCCCGTATAAACGTTTTCTCTGTCACGCATAACACGGAACCTGTTCGAATACATCTTCATGGATGGCTTTGGTATACGAGAACTAGGAACACGCAATGCCAATGTCGAGTCACGCTCAGAAAATTGTCAAGGGGAAAGTGTGTTATACGTGAATAGACGTACGTATGACCTATGCTCGTATAGGAGAAACAATTACATGCTAGTATGCTGGTCGGGTTAAGTGCTAATAGATACGCTGAGTAATGTAAAAAAAAAGAACTGCTAAAGAACTGCAAGACCCAACTTACCGTTTGATAGTATGAGTTAGACGCGGTGGGATTAATTGGACACGTAGGATCCTTCAGAACATCGTTTTCTTTTATACAGCAAGCATCGGGGACCGTTTTTCCGGTTATAGTCCAGTTCCTGTTCTCACTGAAGTCTCGAAAATTTTCCACGCCGCAACAATGGAGCTGAAGACATTTCCATCGATATCAGACACTATGCCTTCCCTGCCCTTAATCGTTGATAAAATTTTTCTTTATTCATTTATCTTCATAAACCCGTGGCCGAGAAAATAAATGGATAAAGAAGAGGTATATTTATAAACGTTAACTAAATTATTATCTCTTTGAATTAGCAATGTAATTTAACACGACGCTTATTGAAAGCTTATAATATTATATTTTATGATATTTCTTCTGAGTGTCGAGTTTGAGGAAGAAAATAGTACAGATATGTGACGCTTCTTCATAACTCATCCACTTTCCTATTCATTTTCTCCATAATTCATCACGACGCTCTAAAACAAAATTCTTGCGATCGTTTGTAACATGCAATTTCACTACAAAGTGGTACGATAGCGAGCACCGATAGCTCGTTCGCGATATTACCAGCTTTCACTTACACCAAAGCGCCAAGTGCAGTTAGCGAGCCACTTGGCAAATTAATCGCGTTTACGCATGCAAGACAGACGAAATCCGGAAGAATCAATGCACCATTAATTCGGCTCGCCGCTCGTGCCCGAAATTAATTATCATTAATTAACGCATTCGTTAGCGATAATTAGTAACTTTACCTTGCTCATGATACCGTCCCACGCGACTGTCACCGTGTCAGCTTTATCACCGCTGGACGCATAGTACTTGGCGATGGTCGACTTCAAGAAATCCTGCGTACCTTTCTCGACCTGCATAAATTTCATATTACGAATCTTATAAAAACATAATATATATATTAATATATATATTGTATAAAACTGGTCGATTTGGTCGACGCTGGTTTTGCTGATGAGAAATGTGGAATAAAACGCGGAATATGATAATTATATGAATACGCACGTCTCCTTTAAGTCCAAAAGCGAGGCCGACTACCACACACTCCAGGATTAAAACCAGCAAGATTAGAATGCCGTACTGCAATCACAGAAAATGTTTTTTTCCCTTTTTGTGTAACTCCATTCCGATAGCGTGCCCGACATCGTCGGCAAGGTGATGATCTTAGAGAAATAAATCGAAAAACGCACGACAAAATTGCTTCGTACGAAATCCGCTCTTCTCGAAAACGAAGATACATTATTAAAGAGAGAGATAAAGAGAGAAGATTTATTCTACTCTTTCGATTTTTTCTTTTTTTTTTTTGTATATTCACTCTCTTCCCCCGGTTGTATCAACAATAATTCAAGGATTCGCTATTATATCGCGAATAAAAGGAAAAAAAATCAAGACAAGGAAATCTCGCGTTATATCACTAATTGAACTTGAACGTCGCTTGTATTGTTTTCAACAAACTCTATCGTCGATCATTGGATATCTGCTATAATCAACAACTCTGTTTTGTATTAAAGTACGCATTAAGAGATCCCAAGTCACCGCGTAACGCTCATTAATTCAAAGTTATATATTTGCGTACGTACATATTAAAACGTAATATTCTTATTTTTAGATACAAAGCACGCGAGGAATACATGAGCAAATATCCATATATCACAACCAACTTTACATTGAACTGCCTGGGCATGTGTAAACGAAATGAGATTGCGAGCGAAACGAATTTTATCAGAACGAACTTACGACACAGAGGAGGCACCTGGACTCGAACATAGCGCCGCAATACCCGAGGAAACTGATGATGAATGTGAGAGCACCGGCGAGGATAAGAATGTAGGCGATCATCTGGATAACATCGGCGTCCGTTTGGTTCTGCAAAACAGAAAGATGCGATTAGAATACGAATCGCCCTGCGATAAATATTCATCGTCGAGCGCGGAATACAAGATTGCGCAACATTACGAGCATCCTAGAATCTCTTTTACGGCGAGATCTTACGCGTTCATCATGATACGCAAAATTATTTATTATCAACGAGTAACATGGAAAAGTGGGCTTTGAGAGTGAAACGCGGTTAGTCACTTATAGCGTGATCTAACGCTATGTAACATTTCATTGATAATTTAATATAAATTATAAATCGTACGTTTCGGCCCTATAGTTTGAACCGTTCTTCAGCGACGCGGTGATCGATAAATATGACATGATTATACGATAGATAAATTCTATTTTCTGATAGATAAATCCTATTATCTCTCTAAATTCTTTACTTGAGCCAACTGCTCAAAGTAGAACCGAAACGTATTTATAATTTGTATTAAATTATTAATTAAATGTTACATAGCATTAACTCACGCGCAACTAATCGCGTGATTTCACTTTCAAAGCCCACTTTTCCTTGTTACTCGTTAATTTTAATATCGCAAGTCTTTAGATAATTAATCATTTATTATTTATTACAACAATATTAAATTCATTACACTTATTCTAATACATATATTCTATTTATATTAATATATAATATATAATTATTATATAAAAATTATATATTATATTCATAATATTTTAAACAATTTTAGAAATAATATAGAGCTACTTGCCAACGTAACAAATGTAAAACGACGATACAACCCGAACAGGAAATCCTGTTTAGAAATCGCAGAAAAATGACTTAATAAAAGTCACAGAAGGAGATCCTCGTGTATCGTGATACTGATTCATAAGTTTTTGCGCTCGGTGGGGAGTTTACGATCACTTATTACAAATCACGGAATCCCCGGAGCTTTATTTCTGATCATTTCCCGTTTTACAAAGGAGATTATAAGACTTGGAACAAGTCGTTCACCCAATCACGTAAATCTTAAACTCTACGCGATTAAAATATCGACGGCATTTTGTCGTTAATAGCTGCGTTTATACTAATGTGTATAGATTGTTTATTTATTTACTTAATGTAACATACAAACAAACGCGCTAATACGCGTAAGTAGCCGCAAACAATTATTAGATCGAGCTCGTCGTCAAGTAGGTATCCAACGGGAGTATTGTACGGGAAACGTGCTCGATATAAGAGGATGACATAATGGCTCGCGAACGGCACTTGGAATACTTATAAGCTCCCTACATACAAGCTGTCGTCGTGCGTGATAGATATCGAGTTTCACGAGGCGGATCAGAGTGGAAACATAGACACTCCTTTGTGCGGGGCGTCGCGAGAAACGGGACGCATCTGCCGATATGCCTGGCCGTCGCGGACACTCTCCGCGGTTCCGCGATCCTCGCGGATCGTTATTCGTTAAAGGAGAGAATTGTATGGATTAAAAAAAAACCAGAAACGAAGAGAAAGAGACGTTCTCTCGATGTACACTTCCACTTTCCCGAATCGGCGCGCCGATTCGAGAGCGTAAGATCTTACGAGATGCCGATATCTTCGCGCAAATCTTGTAAATGGAGATATCCGTGCAAACTTGAAACGCCAGGCATAATCCGATCCGATAGCCCGTGGTAGTGCGCCGGAGTAACAGAGAATTGCGCTAATCGACCCATCGCGTGTGAAAATCTATCTGTGGAAGAGAAAAAGATTCCAGAGGAAGAGCGTCAATGCGGCTTGAAGGGCTAACGAAATACGAGAAGTCAATTCTAAGAGATTAGAAGGAGACACAAACCTTTCCTTGTTATTACGATACTAAAAACTTACATATATTTTTCCTTGAAAAATGCAAATTCGTAACTATAGTTTCAATACGAGCCTGAGATAATTTATCACGCGGTATATCCGCGGTTGGCCTCGAATTGAAGTTGTAGTCAGCTATTAGCAAGTCAATCAAACTGACAATGCAAATTCGATTTTTATGACAGCTGCTCGGCCACGATAAATCATGAAGGATCAATTCCGCTGTCTCGTTCCACCGTGGAATTACTTGGGAATACTTTGCAAGTGCTCTCGTAGCGTTTTACGACTTGTTGTGTTAAATAAGACGATCACGTCGAGCGTCGGTCACGTGACCCATCGTTTTACGTTCGCGAGAATGCAGGTGGCAGCTCCCCGCCGCGCTCTAAAGGCGTTCCGCGATTTGTACCTGCCGCGGATTGCTTCGTGGGCACGTTGACACTCTTATCTCGAACACCTGTTGAACGGATATAAGGTATTTTTAGTACGAGTTCCACCTTAGTATAGGCGCGCCGACATTGCACGTCTTATTGAATCCACTACCACTTGACGGCTGAGCGTGCCGCGAAAAATCAGGTCACCAGGTGAAAGGACTAATAAGGCTGTCTCGTGTTCGGTTTCACCGGCTTGTTCCGCCAGATTGATCAAAACTATTCGAGCGGCGACAGCGAATGATAAGCGAGCGACGTAAGCTAGTCAGTTTTAAATGTATGATCGGCTTAACACCGTGAGTCATTCATCTTGCTGATCCAGCAAGTACATTATTGCTTTATTAGTCCATAAGAAACTCATTAGCATCAGTAATACTGAATTATATTTCAATTTAACAGTGTGTCTCAGCACACCTGTGGCTCTGGAGCTGTAAACGATTGAAGGGAAAGACTTTTTCGAAAATTATAAGCTTCAGAGAAATCAATACATAATAAAATCACATTTTTTTCACTTTTGAACTAACTTTAAGTAGATTTTGCTCTCGTCGAATTTTAGTTTAAGATTTTGTTGCAAAAATATATAATATCAAGAGATAGTGTCACGATGACCATTCTCAAAATACTTTCGACCAATCGACTCGAAATCTTTTGGGAAATTTCAATTGTCAACGCTCGTGTTTAAAAAAAGAACCTTTTCTTTAATCTCTTCATAATCGTCTAAATAAAATTTTGAAATAAATGAAATAATGAAATTTATTATTTTAATGCAAAACAGTATTATTTTAACTCCATTGTGGTTTAGTTAAATTAACATTGTTTCAGTTAAATTAACAACATTGAGTAGCCAGTAGGAGCAGTGGCGATCTACAGGAATAGTAAAAAATAACTCAAATTGTGTATAATTTGACATTACAAACTTAACAGTGTAGTTATTAGTGAACGTAGAAATCTACAAAACCATTTTCAGGTTTTTTCAAGAGGGTGACACGGTAATTCCAGGATAAAGCGAAAATAACCTGAGGCCCTAATAAAAAATACACGACTCATCAGGCATATACGCGCACACACGCACATAGAGAATTACGATTCTACGGCCCATCGTCGAGCACGAGCTGTTGCTCCGAAATGACCTAATTTAGCGAATTTACAGTACACGGACGTATGTTGCGCGTGCGTCAGCGAGTTAATGCATTTTCTGGAGCTAACGGCGTACGTCCTAAATACCTGTTCCCCTCGTACACGCGGACACATCGAACGTGGCCGACGGGAGAAAGAGGACGGATATCTAAGCGAAAGCCAGGGCCCCACAGAATTTTCTCTCTTACGAGGAAATTTTCCTTTCTAATTTCAAACCCCTTCCTCTTCCTCTTCTCCGTTCGTATTTCGTATATACGATGCTGTTATCAACGCTCCTGATTGATATCCGATATTGCTGTCCAATTCGCTGACCATTGTCTAAAGATGAGACTATACGGCTATTTAAGCCGAATCCGAGTTCTCTGTCGATATCGCTCAAGCAAGACGGCAATTAACGGGATAGACCGGGGGATCGGTTGACGGCGACAGACACAGAGGAAAACGGAATCGTTGTCGAGGAAATGTAAACGACAACGATAACGATAAGTGATAAGGGTACCCCAAGACGAGGCAGTTAATCTACGTCTGTCTCGAGATTTTCACTTGCACACTCGTTTCCGTTTACAATCCTCTCTCCCTCTCCTCTCTCTCTCTTCTTTCCGAAAGTGGCAACGACCGAACTAACGGTTGAATATTATGCTTAATATCTAAAACAACTAACCCACATAATTCACAAGCCGAGTTCTATTCGCGAGAAGTTTCTAAGAGACGTCAGCATATATAACGGCTGCAAGTTATATTCGTCCGATTAGAGTGATTAGAAGCGACTTTCTAAGCGTCCCCGAGCCTCCGCTAATAACGCAACGGTAATTTGTTCACGTGAAACCGATACGGCTACGACTTTATTTTCATTTTCTTTCATGCGATTCCAGGTACGTGTCTCTATCATTCGCGAATTGCCTCGAGGAAACTGGAAACGAGTTCGCTTAATCTATTCGGCGCGACATTATTATTAACGCAACGATGTTTATAGCGACGGTTGAAAGAATCACTGTAATCACGCGTGACTCATATATTACTTTGTATAAATGTTAAAGATTAGTTTCAGCGACTCTCCATGCTCATTCTCGAGATATCTTATTTTATAATGGATCTCTTACGACACCTGGGTAAGCTCTTTTTATGAATGACCGGTCTAATTATAATGTCGCTTTATCACAGGGAAACGCGTTACCCTTTCGCCGGCTGCGCGAAACTCGCGAAACGAAAGCGGCACTTTTACTTTTTCGCGTGGCGTTCCGCTATCTAGCTCCGCCACCGGGGGGGGGAGCAACGCGCGATATATAAAAAGATTTCTGGCAGGAGATTTCGCAACGCCGATACATTCGGCGTACGAGAAGACGACCGAGGAGGCCGCCGCCGAAATCGAGCCGCGTTAAAAACCCGTCCGAAGAGCTTCTCGGCCCTTGCATGCACCTAGTGAGAGTGAGTCCGCGCGAATCCGTGATGGAGCACCCTGATCCTCCCACGCGTTGCGCTAATGTGACAACCAATCATCTCATCAGCGACCAAGTACCGATAATTACGTTTCTCGTTCTCCCTGCCCTGGTAACGTTTGCCGTACCCATTGCACGTCGCGCATATCGCGCTACGCGTGCGATCTGCCATCGATACTCGCCTTTTTCTCGGCAGGAATAATGTCTACATCCGTATATCTGCATAGAAAATATAATTTATACATATTAATATATAATTACTCGGTGCATGTATTAATAGATACGTGTCGCGATGCCATCGATAAAAAGCGAGCGAAGGCTCGCATCAGGAGGAAGGAAATGGTTTTGCAGTAGTAATTATTCGAAGGAAGTGGTAACTTCCATTCTCCATTGTTCTCGTTAACCGCGGCCTTTAAGGTAAGTCGCTCTTTTTTGTGCCTCCTTCTCCTTCGCAGTTTATAGAGTCAAGCACCTCGTTAAACGTAGATTATCCGGTACTGCTAAGCGGCTCGTAATTAAAGAAAGCCTATATAGCGTATGTGCGTTCGCCCCAAGTGCTGTACACCTCTTGTGAATTCCTCTAAAATAATATCGACGCAAACGAAGTATACTACTTTCTTGCGAGAAAAACTTGGGATCCTGCCAGGGGTCTGTCTCTACATGCCGTAGGAAAAAAATAGGAATGACAACGATTAATTTAATTTAAATGTCAAATGAGACACGCGTAACTTTGAAATGTGTTGATTTAACCGTACGATAATTTCGCAGCGTGTTTTATTTTAGCCGCAAAACACCGACAGCTCTCTCGGGCGCGCGCGCACATATTTCTTAATTAACGGGCTTTGATTAAAATTAAAGCAGTATATCTTAATTTCAATTAGAACCGTTACGCACGTGTAAATATACGTAATAAGGTAAGCAGCTAATAACTTCCGAAGCAGTAAAAACTTTTAAAAAAACTCATCCGTAACGAGTAGTCGGTACATTTTAAGTAGGTCATTTACATTTAAGTAAAACTATAATATAAAAATTATACATATATAATTAAAAGGTATAAGACAGTAATTAAACCAAACAAAATCGTACATATATACGATATATATATATCCCTCACAAGTTGGTTATCCTCCGTTGAATCTATCGTACATCTGGCATCTGTCCAAAAGAAATGGATGTTTATCTTTAAGCTGATCTAGTTCCTATATTCCACTTGGATTTCGAGGTTTTGTCGTGGACGCCTTGGATTAAACGTTTATTCGTTAAATTTCAACGAACTTGAATATAAGAGACTTGTCTTGGCGAGAAAATAGGGAAGTAGAGAGAATCTGGGCAAGAATATGCGCGTTTTACATATCGATCCGACGACACGGTAGCATAGAAAAATTATGTTAATACGTACGTGCGCGCGATAGTGACACCGATGTATCCGTATGTTAGAGACAATGGCACGATACAATACGCGTCACGCGTTTCTCGTTACATATCTGCATTTCGCACGTGCTCGTACAACACGGGGCTTGTTAATGCAAGTCGCGATAGATAATTTCCTAATGCTAACGAAAAGATTCGTCAACAAAAGGCGCGAGGTGCCTTACATACATTATTTATCTGTCATTAATCATCTTACGTATAATGCATCGCGCACGCGGAAGCGCGCGTACAAGTTAAACGTGTAAAAATAAAAAGCAGAGTATTTTTGCTGATACGATATGATAATCGCGCGAGAATCGGTAACGGATTGATCAAATCGAACTTCCTCGTTACACCTATCACTATAATTGCGTAACAAACAACTTACGACGTAATTAGCACGAATTGCGCAAGAGAAACTTGGAGCCGTATAAATAGCCGACTCTGTAAGGATATATACACGCGAGTCGTTTTTCTTCTAATGCGTCTTTAAATCGGCACAGGACGATGAATCTCAAGAAGCGGCAATAAAATCAACGGACGATGCGGACAGAATTGCTGATAGGGCAATTTCAATTCTCGAGATGTCTAGTTTAATATCTCCTAAAGTTTGTGAGAATTCGTCGACGAAATATAGTCTACGCGTTTAACAAAACAGCATGCAGAAAACAGCCGTGGGCCGCGGTAGGAATTTGCAAACACAGCGCAGTAGGAATTTAAACTCGTTCGCGAACCGGTATTCTCGCCAGGAATTGTCCGGCTCGTTTAAATATCGAAAGTATCCAAGCTTTGTTCGAAACTCGTCGCGAAACTCGGAGATAGTAGGGATCAAGATCGATTTAAAAGTTAAATTGTCAAACTTTGGACGTGTCACGCACGCTTTAGATACGCGCCGCTCTCTGCGTTTCGTGCAAAGCGGAGCGTCTCGTCGGATATTTGGTGCTCGGCCAATTCGCCCGCCCGCGCCGCATCGTACGCACGATCGCACGAGCAAGTGGCTGCGCACAATGTCAATTAACGACTTCCTCGAAAAACAAGGTAGAAGAAACGCTCGGACGAACAAGCGTGAAGCACTTGCCTTGGTCTCCCTTTCCCCCCCCCCCCCCCTCCCCGTTTCTTTTTCCTTCTCGCGATGTCGCTATAATGCGGATTGATTTGTTCACGTGAACCTTACCAGAAAGTCCGATTGATCGAGTTTCCCGATGAGATTGGTGAACGAGCTCCTGTCGACGAACAGCCATATCCCGACAGTCAGTGCCGCTCCTCCGGCGATCTGAAAAAAAAAACACAGGCTTTAATGTGTGGGTTTCCGTTCTGCTTGGTGGACCTCAAGGCTGTGCCGCGCCGAAGAAGGCAAAGAGGCCTAACGCTCTTGCCTTGGCGGGCGAGGCGCAGGCAAGAGTGGATTTTTGCGAAAAGTTTCACTCCGCCGATCGCCTCGCTAGATGCGTGCCGAGACGACCGTTCGATCGGTATTGCTCGTGATAATTTGATAAGTCTACTTCAAGGCTCCTGGTTTCTAACTGTACGCGCCTTGAATCGTGACGTCGACGAGCAACGTGAAGTTTCTTTTTGCGTTACACGTCGAAATAGGTCAGCTCTTACGCGTACTGCTCGTGTTTGATAGACTGGATTTATCAAATGTACCCGGAGGACTCTCTTTCTGATTCATGAATTACACACTACGTGAATCTTGATCAACTGTCACAAGATGTTTTGATCAGAATAAAATAAACATGCAAATTGAACGTTGCATTACCGAGATAACTAAAGGAGCTTTCGTCACATTTTATCAATCTGTATTATCGAGCACGACTGGTGCGTGGTTTGCGAAACGATCCTATTTCACCGTTCGTTCTTGATATCGTAATACGTCTGAGAAACCAGAAGCTCTAACGGCATGAATCGAGGGATTATTTTATGAGAGAAGATTTCAACTGTGCATTTTGCCGTGAAAGTTTGCGTATTTCTTTAACGGATTAACCCTTCTTAACTCTTTGATACTACGCATATAATGGACTTATAAAATGAAATGTTTTAAATAATCCGAAGGCGAAGATTCGCGAGGAACGGCGTCCACCGGATAATTAATCGTCGCTAATATCGCAATATTGATGAATTATGATCCACGGCGTTTCGCGAACGTAGGGAGTGCATATTTCGAATTTGGATTATTATCGTGAAAACTTGTATACTTACGAAGAAGACGAAGTTGAAGAAGCAGAGGAAATACTTGGCGCACTGCGACACGCAAGTCATTTTCGGTGATTATTTCTTAACTGTACCTGTAACAAATTAACACATTCGTTGATTATACGTACAGCCATACATTTCGAAACAGCTTTTATTTACGGATCATTGGATCAATTTGAAGTTGATTTTTCTTTAACTGTCACAAACGTCGAGGGACTGGTGGTTTCTGGGTTGCTGGTAAATGAAATTGAAAAAGACTTTTCGGGAGCAAAGTTTCAAGGATGTCAATAATGCAAATGAAAATTTCACTCTTTATTTAACTTCGAGTGATTTTGTTTTACTTTGACAGACTCGTGATTTTTTATGTAAAATGTAAGAAATCAAACTAAATGATCTTTATCTCATTGTCAGCGTTTCAACGAAAACTTAACTTCAATTTGATTCAAGAACACTTATAAATAAAAGATAGCTCGTCAAGTTTAAAACATAGATATTATAAACGCACAATTTACTTAAAATTGCAATAGGTGGTAAATCAAAATATGTTAGTGTCATATTTCCGAAGTATGACGGAGAAGAGAAAGAAAAATGATTTAAAAAAAAGACTGAAGTAAAGAATTAACGCGCGAATTATAATTCTCGACGCCAAAGTGCGATTGATATCAAGGTCCGTGCGAAAAAAAGCACATCTAATTTCATCTTCGTTCATACTTGAACTGTGCTTCGATATGAGGCTGATTTTGCGACAGATAAATGCCCGACGACTGGTTAATTAATGTAGGCGAGCGTCGGAGCGTGTAGAAGTGTGTTCGTGTCGTCGCACGCCGTGGGCGGAAAACAAAGCGAGGTGAATTGTCCAAATTAGAGCTTGGGAGCTTGTTGCCAATCAGTCTCAAGAAGTGTTATTTTCCTCGTGGACGTTGACGCGCGAATTAAAACGACTCGGGGACAATCTGGAGACGCGTCCTTGACTGTTTCTAACGAAACGGTTTCTAAGAAACTGTAACGAACGTGACACTCGAAATGGTCCCCGAGATTTCGAAACTCTTTCCACCTCTTTCCGCCAGAATCATAAATCATAATCAATATAGATATCGCTTATCGCGTCCCTATTTCAGTTAAGACCCTCAATATCAGATCAGAAATTAAGACGACAAATAACGACCTTCTGGTCGGATTTCTATCTGGACTATCTGGAGATATCTCCGTAATATTCCTCTTTTTTCCTTCCACACGCACGAATCTATCCAATATTATTTCTATCGTTATGTATAATGTCATTACATTGCTACATTCACAGAGATTTTTTTCCCGTTTCCGTTTCAGATTCAAAGACCCTTGAGAGTTAGCTTTGCGTCTGCTACGATTCCACAAACGCATTGCGATTGTTATACCGTTCTTTCTGTCATTGCGTTGTTCTCACCCTATAACTCCGATTCTGCGCTTTTTATTACTACCATTATCTTCCTCCCTCTATCCTGTTCTTTGTATTCATCTTACCACGCTTCGACACTTCTCTGTAATATCGTTTCCCCTCTTCCCGTATCACTGCGGGCTTACTTCCGCGACGAAGTCGACGAATAAACAAACGGAACGGGCAAACGTCTTCATCTCGCGCGCAGCAAGTATTAGGGTCATCGAGAGCAACTTTACGGAGACTCTACTTCGAGTTCGGTTGTGCGCGAGTCGGAGCGAAGAGATCAGTAACGCGGAACCGCGGGAGAGGCTCGATCGGGCGATCCGATATCGAATATCCAGAGCACGGTTCTCGTTACTCTCTACTCCAAGAGCTCTGTTCGGTTCTCCCCCTGTCCGTCGCGCGCGTCTCGCGTTTCCTCGGTGCAGCGGCGCGGTATCGACTGCGAGCTGCTGCTGCTGCTGCTGTTGCCGCCGCCGCTACCGCCGCCGCGCCGCAGCAGCCGTTGCTGCTGGTCCAGCGGGAGGATCCCGCGATTCCCGCGTAGTTTCCGCGACCTCACGATCCTCGGCGCGACGAACGCGTCGCACGCTCGAGGCTCGCTACGGATTCGCGTATAAAGAGAGAGAGAGAGAGAGAGGGAGAGAGAGAGAGACCTCCGCGAGATCTTGGAGAGCCGAGAGCAGGAGAATCGAGAACGCGCGATTTTAGCTCCGCGCACCGGGGCGCAGCTCCCGTTCCTGGAAATCGATGACTACCAGGGACGTCCCTCCGGCGCGTCCTGACGCGCGGGAACGAGTCAACGACACGCGGAAAATTGGATCAGCCGATAGCGCGAGATGCTGGGGTTCCAGGTCAGTAGGTCGCCGCGCCGCGCGCTGCGCTGCGCGGGATTCGCGAGCCCGACCCGAGAGAGGGTCTCTCTCTCTCTTCCCTCGTTTCTCCCGACGTTGCTGCGCCGCAAAAACTTGCCTTCGCGTCGACGGTACTAAAGCGCGAACCAGCTCCCTTTGCTCGCGGTGTTTTTCTCGATCCCCCCGGATCCCTACGGCCAGGCTCCGTATTTACTGCTCCGGAGCGGTAGATCGTATGAATTTCTTCCCGTATGTCGGAGATAAATCGGATTTCTCGCACCGCTCGTGCGTTCGCGGTATACCAAAACGTGTACCTCGCCTTTCCCTGGTCGCCCTTCGTTGACAAGATCGATCTACGCGCGTCCCAGATTTCCCGTGAAAAACGAACGTTATCTTTAATATCGTCCGAATCGCTCAAGGCTCGCAGCTATTTATTAATTTACCCGAGTCCTCGGCACATTTCATAAATCTCCGGCGAATGCGAGTTATGACGTGTACGAAGTAACTGTATAATTTATTTCGATGCACGGCCAGAAGATATCTATACCTATATATACATGTAACTTTTCTCGCTTTTGAGACTTATTTTCTTATTTTCCCTTTCAAATTTCCGTCTAAAGCGCCGCACTTTCCGTAATGCGCAAAATTTCCGGAAAGCGTAAACACCGTCTTGGTCCAACTATATTTTAAAGAAGGCGACGTGTGTCGTGTGCGCAAGATACGCATCGCTTCTTTAAAAACGCAAAATGCCACCAGGCGCGAATTTAGCCAGAATTTTCTTCCCGGTGAACTCTCGACGCGATTCCACGTTCTCCCGGATTTTTCGCAGAACAGAGCCGGAGGTATATACGAACAACCGGAATCCGGAACACCTTGTACACGCATAATCGCGCCGCTACGCACGGTAAACACGCGACGCATCGCGAATACCGCGCGTGTTTCAACATTTCGCTCCGCGAAACTACGTCGCGAGGATCTCAAGGCGAGACCTATCCCGTCCGTCCGTGCATGCTAATGCGACCATCGGTAATGGCGTTGCGGATGCGTTATAGTCGCAATTATTATGGTCGCGTGCACGTGCCGAATGGGCGCTGGAAAAACCGAGCGTTTCCATTCGCGTTCACCGGCAAAAACGGCCTTGCCTCTCGCCGAGAACGCGAGCGCGAGCTCGTTCCGGGCAAAACGGCGGGCAAACGGTGGCCGCACAATCGCGGCGCGGCGTGGAGAATCGCGATGACGAATCCGATGCGGTTCGCTTTTCGGCGGATCATCCTGGAGACGCGGGAAGAAAGTGAATCTCGCGCGAGTGAAAGTTATAACGAAAATTAATCGTCCGCGGTGAGCGACGGGCTGTCGATTTTCGTCGTCGATCTTGCATCGGCGGCGTAGCAGCTGTACCTTCAAAAAATCGAAGACAGGGAGGAACGTCGCGTTAACCCTTTACAAATTAAAGTTCAACGAGAATGAATCGACCTAAATAAATATCTTCGCGCTTCTTCTCCGCCTCGGCATTATTATCGCAGCTCGACGATGAGTTTTCATTTTTGGAGGCACGTTCTAGGGAGCATCCTTCAACAGGCTTTGTTTTCCTCGCTTTTCCCGTCGCGAGTCATTAATGCGCGGTACCGCTCTCAATTCTCTCGTGGAAAAAAAAAACGGTTTCTCGCCGATTATCTTCTGGGACCCTTGAAACAGACACACCTCGGTCGTCAACCGAACAACGGTACGTGTCGCGTATCATATACATGCGCGTTCATTCATGTGTTTCCGAGAGACTCGAAAAGCCTCTCTCGACGAGGCTATACCTAACGCGCGCCGTACTTTCACCGACGACGAGCGTGCAGCAGCTACCTGCCACGGCCTTTGAAATATCGATAAAAATCACGCGACTGCCCGATCGCCAAGCGTAATTTACGCAAGCGTCGAGGTAACCGAATGTGGATCTAAATGAGACATCGTACGCGTATCTAAATTAATGCCGCGCGATTTAACGGCGCGAAAGGAAAATTAGGAACGACGAGAAAGTGGAAAATTAGTCACGTTCCGCAATCGGGAGGGGGGAGAGGGGAGGTCGTGCGGCAGAATCGTCCAATTCATTATATCCCACTTTCATGTTCCACGCGATAAAAATCTCTACGGAAAAAACGTGAAGGACATAGGAATATCTTTTGCAGGGATAGATCGTAATTAGTACATCTTGCCATCAGTCGAAGGTTTCAAAAATATAATTATGGCATACTAGATTGCGTTTTATCAATCCTTAGAACGTGCTCCAGAATGAAAACTGATCAATCGTGAGAATGTTGAGGATGAAAAGGAAGGCCGATTCGTTCGTCGAATTTAATTTATCGATTGTAAAGGGTTAAGGCGACGTTCCCTTCGCGCGAAAGGGAACGAAGCAGCCGAGGCAGCCGAGAAATTCTCACGAATATTATGATATTCGGCGAGGTTGTGTAGGTGGAGTAAAGGAGTTACTGTTACAGCGCCGCCGCGCCGCTCTCACGACACAATGACGGCGAATCATCGTGGCGTGTAATCAACACACGTACGTATCACACGACAGACACGCTACGCTATACGTACGACTTCACGTAACGCATCTTCGTAAATCAAGTGTGTAAACCCTTTGTTCCTGAGATTCCCGATTACTCGGCGCAGCTATATCGAATCAGAAACGAAAAATCGCATGAATTCTTTCCCCGCGCTTGATCAAATTGATTTTTATTCGCGTTCGACAAGCGAAATTTGTAAAAAATGCCTCGAGAATTCTCTTTTCGGTTCGTGAATCCATAACAATTGCGCAATTTCTCATATCGCGATC